GACAATAGGATTACTTTATGTCATAACTTTGACAAATCTTGTTCAATTAGGTTGATTTTGATTCATGCGAATCAGCTCGACAAGCTCTTTCGAATGAGCTTTATTTGTTCAATCGAATTTTTAGCACAAAAAATGAGCTTGGTCAACCCTTTTATTTTTCAATTTTCGGGGGTCTGTATCTCGGCCCAACGTTAAGACCGGGGGTTGATTTTGGTATCATTCGACACAGCTCGACGAGTTCTATAAAATAAAAATTTGATTAGCTGACTGACCATTTTTTAATCTGTTACTTTTAGAAAGGATTGTTTTATTCAAAAATTGGACAAAAATATTAAAGAAAAAGAAGAAAATTTAAATTTAAACAAAAATTCAATGCAGGCAAGTTTTCCTTTAAAGAAAAAAATTTTTATTATTGTAAGGAGGAAAGGAAGATTAAGCATGGCTAGTACATATTTAAGTATCTAAGGGCAATCATAAATCGACTTGAATTTTAAATAATTACCCTAAATTATATTAAATCCCTGTTGTAAAAAAGAAGGAAGATTCAATTGGCTAGCGTTTAAAACGCTTTCTAGATGAGGGTTTAGGTTTTATTAATAGAGACCGCAGAAGCAACGCCCGGGCAATTTCATAGAGCGAAAGCGCCTATGAATAACTAACTATCAGGAGATCGAAAAATCGGTTACTTCCGTTTTACTTCTTTTTTACTCTATAATTTCTTTGGGAAATTGAAATTTTAATAAATAAAAAAAGGATTCTGCTACAACTCCCATTCCGTTAAAAAATACTCATTCCCAGTAAGTTACCCAAGGTCTTACATAATTCTATAAATTCTGTGAAAAAATAATTCCCAACGTAACGACTTTTAATGTCTTTATAACCGCCGCCTTCTAAACTGTTTTATTAGTAATAAAATTATTACATATCTTGTAAGAGACAAATTTTCAAGGGTTGAAGCGTTTTAGCATGATTTTTAGCATTTATGACGTTTTGGCGTGACAGATTTTTGAGCATACATTATTTCTTTCTGAGCCAACATTATTTCTTTCTTTCATTTTCCTTTTCTTCCCGTCTTGCCTATACAAAAAATTTTTTTTATAAAATTACAGAAAGTTTCATTTTAATTTTTTGCAATTTTTAACGCCAATTTAAATTAACCTCACAATTAAAGGTGGAAAGAAGTATGTAGAGGAAACTCTTCCAAATAAAATTAGCTAAAATTGCTTCCTGCAAAATAGTTTCCAATTTTTATTAATTTTTTCAAAATTAATTTTATAAGTATATTACACAAAATTAGATTAAAACAAAAATTTAGAAATTAAAATTGTTAAAAACGATGTTCTAAAATTAAATAAATAATTAGTAGATTTTAGTACAGTTTTGCTTGTAAAACAAAGATTAGTAAAGCAATTAAGGAGTGAAAACCAGAATTCGTTTGTTCTGTTAAAAGCAGACTGGTCATGGATACGGATACAGATGAGTTCAAGATGCCTGCGGATATTCGCCTGTATCCGCCGTAAATATCCGGATACGGATACCAAAATCAGTATCCGTGACCAGGTCTGGTTAAAAGTGTTGCCCGGAATTGTACGAGAAAAACTGTCCGGCAGACCATTGGGTAGAGGAACATTTCTTGCGAACTTCTTTTTTTCTTGGGGAAGAATTTGCGGATATCTTTTGCGGACTTTTCAATAAAAAAAGAAGCCAATAAAAACTATTTGAAAATCAGAACATTTTAATTTAATTTTCAGTTTGTTTCAAAACTTTTTGGGTTTGTTCGTGGAAAACTTGGTAGATGTTCAATGTGTTGTAATGCTAACCAACAAGTTGTAAAAAAAGAAAATGATAAAAACAAAAATATTCCGGATAGAGGAAAGAAGAGAAGGAAAAGCTCGATAAGGTGGTTAATATTTGAGGGAAGAAAATTTTATACAGAATTTGCGGACAACTTTTTGCGGACTTTTTGTATTTTTTCATTACTGTTCATGAAAAAATTTAAAAAATCCAAAAAATTTTTTTTAAGAAAACCAAAGCTTTTGGGTATGCGACAACGTGAATCAGTCATTTTCAATAAAACAGAAAATCAAATTGAAATATTTGAAAACCTCTTAACTCTCTACAATTCCCCCAAAGATGTAATTAATTTAAAAAACAATCCAGAACCTTTAATTAAATTGGGAATTGATTCTAAACAATTTTCAACAATTTTGGAGGTTAAAAAATTTAAAAATTTAAAGAAAATTAATTGAAATTTTGAAGGAATTATACTTTTTTGTACAAAAAAGTGAGCAACTTAAAGAGGCAGAAAGAAGGATAAAAGACAGAAAAGTAAGAAAAAAGAATGGAAATAAATAAATATTTGTGTGAATAAATATAATTTATTAAATTGTTTTTTAATTTTAAATTGATATTGGAAATTGGAACAAATGCCAAAATTAAATCATTTTTACAGTCACTTGAACAATGCCATCTACCTATTTTCCTATAGACCATCCTTGCCCTATTCCTTGCACTATTCCAGCTGATGGTCCACCACATAAAGTCGAGGAAATTTTAAAATATTTTTTCACTTTTCTCTAATTTCTGGACAAAAATCAAACAGCAAGTTATCACAATTTAAATGCAAAAGGATAAAAAACAAAAAAAATATTTATTTACAATAGAGCAATATTATCTATTTATCTCTCTCACATCTCTATTTATTCTTCAAACTTCCGGCAACGTCTTTGTTTCTACAGGAGTCATTGCCTCCTTATCCGCTCCCTCCTTAGTTTCCCCATCAGCTGCCTGTGCCTGCTTAACATCCACTGGAGCTGTAACCGACTTTCCATCTTCCGGTGCCGTCCTTGCACTTTCAGCATCCACTTGAATTGCTGTATTGACGTCCGGTCCATATTCCGAGTCTCCTGTAGTTATCACTATACTTCTCGCACTCCTTGTCTGAAAAAATAAAAATTTTTGGACAGTTATTTTCCAAAGAGAAGGATTATTACCATTTTCTCTTCCTCTGGCTTCTCCTTTTCATCCTTATTCATATTGAAGTAGAACCACCCTGCATTTGTGCCGATACAGCCAAAAAGTAGAAGAACAAGGAAAACAATCCAGATAAACGAGGATGACGAGCTTGTTTCAGCAGAAGGAGCGAGAAGATTTGTCGTTTTTGTTGTAGTCGTTGAAGTTCTAGTCGGAGGGACTGGACACAAAGGACAAGCAGTACACTTTATAGCTGGTTCCGTTAGACACGCTGGACACACAGGACAGGTAGCAGACGCTGGTTCAGTTGGACACGAAGGACAAGTAGCACACGTTTTAGCTGGTTCCGTTGGACATATTTTTGGTGTCGTTGTAGTAGTCGTTGTCGTTGGTGGTGAAGGATGAGAGACAAACAGCAGCTCGTAGTAGTTTCTGTCCTACATTAAATAAATTTAGAGGGTTTCCAAAAATTCTTGTAAAAGCTCACAAATTGGACAAAGAGTTCACAACGCGTCCTGGCTGGTTTATCTACAAGCTTGTTACCATCGAACACAACAGACGCACTCACTGGAAGCAGGCTGAAGACAATTAGACGTTCATTTTTCAGATCTCCATTTGTGATGTTCCATGTTTCTGGGGTAACGAAGGGATTGTGCTTTGGAACGCATGAAATTTTGTCCAGTGACGAGTCGAAGGGTTCCTTTCTTCCATAAAAATTCATAGAGAATTTGCCTCCGCTTTCTATCTCCATGTCGAAAGTCATTTCTTTACCAATAGGACTTTTAAACTGATTCTTGCCTTGATTCACTTCGCCAACTGAAATGATAAAAATACAATTTAGATATGTATGTGCAATTAACAGATTTACATATATTACCTAGATGGGTGTAAGCGTAGACCTTTATCCCGTTTCTGCTGCTCCATGAGATTTCGAGAGTCGTCCACGGCATGCACATTCCACATTCCTGCTTGTTACAAGCATCCTTGTGAGTATATATTGGACCATGGCTGAGCCTTTCGACGACCTTGTTGTTTTTGCTGTAGACAAACGGCATACTAAAAGGCTTGAAATCAAATTTTCCTAAAATTCGAAGCCTACATATTATTAAAGCTGTCCTGGACACGGTAACCATCATCAAGACAATTGTTGATGACTCCTCCTTTGTTCCTCACTCCAGCCTTAAACTTGATCTTGTTGTTGTAGTCTTCGTTCTTGATGAGCAGGTCCACTGTGCATCCAGTGATGCTGTTGTACTGAAGCTCACTTGAATATAAAACAATTTCGATTTAAAATTAAAAAACAAAAATCGCAAACTTACATGGTTTTGCTGTCGATCTTAACATCACATGCATTCGGGAAGCGCTTCTTGTACTCGTCGGAGTTGAAGTTTGTCCCGTTAGCCTTAATGGTGAAGTCGACAAGCGTAACTTTCTTGCCAATCTTTTTGTGATTGGCGACTCCGACGCTTCCGTCATTGTTAGACTGTCCGGGTACTTCACGCACAAGGAACATTGCGATGATGAGCAGCAGCAAGGAGAACAGCGTTGACGACTTCCTTGTCCCAGGGCCGGTGTAGAGCTCCTTTGGAAGAAGGCCGAGCATGAAGAATTGTTGCAGGCGAAATAGATGTTTGTTTGAAGATTTGTAGATTTGTAATGAGTTTTGTAGAGTTGTTGAGAAGTAATTTGAATGGTAAAACTTTTTATAGTAAAGCTAGAGTACGTCCAGTATCGAGTAATTGGAACAAACCCGAGCTCGAGTTGCTGAGTTTGATAAACCCGAGTTCGAGTACGAGTTCAACTTTTTAGGTCGAGTTCGAGTAATCGAGTCAGTGCTGGACATAGTATATATATATATATATTTTTTTCTATATTTGAATTTGCGGACAACTTTTTGCGAATTTTTTTCTATTTGAAAAAATTAACGGACAATTTTTTGCGGATTTTCTGTATTTCTTTCAGTGTCTGTTCATTTTTGAGAATTTTTACCATTATAAAAATTTTTTTGAAAAATTTTTTAAAGAAAACCAAAGCTTTTGGGTATGCGACAACGTGAATCAGTTATTTTTAATAAAACAGAAAATCAAATTGAAATATTTGAAAACCTCTTAAATCTCTACAATTCCCCCAAAGATGTAATTAATTTAAAAAACAATCCAGAACCTTTAATTAAATTGGGAATTGATTCTAAACAATTTTCAACGATTTTGGAGGTTAAAAATTTTTAAAAAATAAAATTTAAAGAAAATCTTAATTTTGAAGGAATTATACTTTTTGTACAAAAAAGTGAGCAACTCAAAGAGGCAGAAAGAAGGATAAAAGACAGAAAAGTGGGAAAAAAGAATGGAAATAAATAAATATAGTACACTCTGTTTCAAAAGTATAACCCCACTTTAATTTTTTTACTTTTTTCGTTGCTTAATCAATGTACATATCTTATTAACTTAACATCGAGAAAAGTGAAAAAATTTAGATCGTTAAAATTAAAGTTGATTTGTTTGTTTCTCAATTAAGAGGGCCGAAAAGGTTTATGTATTTGTTGGAAGTTTCTGAATTTCAGCCGGGATCAACCCAGAAGGTCAACTCGCAGAAGGTCATCCCAGATTGTCAACACACACGAGGTCAACTGACCCAGAAGGTCAACTCCCTAGTGGTCAACTGACCCAAAAGGTCAACCTCAGATATTTAGGCGGATAAAGTTTATTTGAGATTAAAAATACGTTTCTTCTCGCTTTTGATTTATCCGACAGTTGCACGAGGAACCGGGCTGAAAAAGACGAAAGAGATCAGGGACTAACCGGACTAGTATGATCCAACTAGACTGACGCTGACACGGGCTTTTATTTTAAAGTGACACCACTACACATTAGTCTCTCTCCAGCGTGATTTTCTTTCTGGCAAATGCTATAAAAGCCAGCCAAGAAACGTAACATCAACCAACATTCAACTCAACCGACTTCCATTCTTCTAAACTTCGCTCGTCTACACTACATGATCAGCCGCAACAACCGCAACATCGTCCCTGCCGCCCGTGGAGACACACCGAGAGGACGCCAATCTTCTGGAAGCACTCCAAGGCCCCACAAGAAGGAGGACAACGACGAAAACGCAGCGTTCATTGAGCAGCTTCAGGCCTGGGCCCAGGAGACTTCGCGGAAACAGCTGACGGACTTGGAGTCCGAGTTCGAGCGCCTGCAGAGCCAGCCGCGACCGGAACCATCTGAGGAATTTGCACGGTGATTTTTTCTAGCTAAGTTGTTTTTAACGCTCACTAATTTTTATTTTTGTAGCAATCCAACCCTGAACCGTTATCGAGATGTCATCTGCGTCGAGAACAACCGGGTCGCTCTGACAAACGGACGCTACATACACGCGAATTGGATTGATAGCCAAGGTGGAATTTGGTATGTTTAAAACAAAGCAAAACTCTTTTTCAGGTGATCGGCGATACATCTGCACGCAGGGCCCTCTTCCGTGGACAGTTGACGACTTCTGGGAAATGGTCCTGCAGGAGAAAGTTGAGGCGGTTGTGATGTTATGTGACACCGTTGAGCTCAATCGTCCCAAGTGTCACCAGTACTGGCCTAAGGATAATACACCAAAATCGGTAAGCTTCTCTGTAGATTGAGGCATTAATTTATGCTTTTTTTCTTTTACAGGCAATCACCAGTCGTGACGGCAACATCAGAGTCCGTTTCGTGGATACCGAGGCACTGGACGACAACCATCTTATTCGGACGCGCCTTCAGGTCACCAGCGACAATCCGAAGCGGCAGGCGAATGTTCGACACTTCCATTGGAGACGTTGGCCCGATCGTGGAGTGCCGATGAATCACCTTGCTGCGCTCCGACTGCTCTTCTACATCGGGAAATACAAGCCGATAGTAGTCCACTGCTCGGCAGGTAAATGACTACAATAAAAAAATTAATTTTTGACCAGCCTTTCTTGCTTTTAGGTATTGGCAGGACCGGGACTGTCGTCATAATCTTCTTGGCTCAAAACACGCTGCACGCTGGACATCGTCTGGACTTCTACGAGTTGGTAGCAGAGTTGCGTCGTCAACGGGCTGGCAGTGTACAAACCTTGGACCAATACCTGTACATCTACAGCGTCTTTCTCCGGTAAGCGATAAAAAAACACACGTGTCACCTTCTTAAACTTTAACTTTTCCCTTCCAGATACGCAAAGAACAAGGCTGATGCGGGCAAGATCAACGTGGACGTCGAAGCAGTCGAACGGCTGGTACAAGCGATATCGAAACGGATCTACAAGCCGACGAGACGCTAGGACAGAGAGATATATTCTGCTGTGATATCGCATAGTGATATACTTGTTCATTGTTGTTGTATTTTGCTTGTGTATTTGCTTGTATATTGACCCCATAATTGTACATAGTATTGTTTCTCTTGAATGTAAATAAATATGATTTTGTTCTTGTGTCCTTATGTTTTATAAATTTGAAATAAGCGCTTGATTTTCTGGTTTGTAATTTGTAGGTGAAAATTTTGCGAAGACTTGTAACTCTCCAAACTTAATGTCGGTATAAAAGCTGGGCTTGGCTATGTATAGCTATTTCTCCGTTGGCTTGTGTAAAGGCTAGAACCAGCATTTTTAGTTACCGTACTGAGCTTTTGCTAGTTACCCGAGACCACAATTCCTCTTGAATATCTTTAAAAATTGTATACATAATGAAAAGTTTTATCAAAAACAAAAATACTCATCGAGAAAAACAAAAATAACAAAAAATAAATTAAAGCCTTTTTTGGCATTTTAAGGGAAAAAGTTGGTAAATTCGAAATAAACATGACATATCTGAAAAATGCGTTGCAAAGACTTGTAACTCCTTGGACGATAAAAATTCCGTGTTGGAGTCCTCCTATGAAAAATGATTGAGTCCTTACCTTCCCTACAAACTTCACTACAAACTAAACTCGGTTACTGCTATTCTTAAAGTGCTTGTTTGATATTTTGTGTTGAAAAAATGTTCAAAAATCTGAGATAGCTTAAAATAATTTTTTCTTTCACTTCGCATGTTCGAAAACGGGGAATATTGTCTATATAATGGAGGCAAGATTCTTATGATTTTATCCTTCCCCTATAGCTTAGCCTGCAACAGAGTGTCCTTGTCCCCTGTTATTATTTAGTGGAAGGTTCAAAATAATTTTTCTATTTTTCCAAATTTTAAATTGTTTTTTTTGTTTATTTTCTATCAATTTTTTTTGATCAAATTACATTTTGCCTCTCCCCCCTCCCCAAAAAACTGACTAATCACTTAGTTAGAAAAGAGCTTTTACAGTTAAGAGAAATTCGTCATTTCCTTTTTTCAAAAATTATTTTTCTAGTAGTTCCCCAAATTTATTTAAAATGACTTTAAAAATATCAATTTCCTTCATTTAATTTTTTCAAAAAAATGTTTTTAAATTTAATTATTCCAAAAAAGCCTCGCCGTCAATTTCTTCCCTTATCCTTGTCCGAATGGGATTTACACTGCAGAAATAAACGGAAATATTTAAAATTAAATTTGAAAAGATCAAAAAGTTTGGAAATTAATTTACTTAATGAAGAAGAAAATTTAAAGAAGAAAAATAATTTGAATATTAAATTCAGAAATAGAGCTATTACAACAACAACTTCAAATAATTATTTATTATTACCCGAAAAAAGAAATAGAAAACATTATCTTTCTGTGGAGGATAGAATTAGTAAGGGAGTGAATTTAAATGTTATAACTTGACTTGTAAAATACTTGGAGTCTTGAAATTTTATTTAGTTATGCTTAGTAATGTCTTCTAGCTTGCCTATAAATTTCAGAATTTTTGGTTAAATATCTCCCAAGTTAAGCCAAAAGATCGTTCTAAAAACGACTTTTTAGGAGAAATTTGAAACGTTTTTGACCATAACTTGTGATCTATTTTACCAAAAATTCTGAAATTTATAGAAGAGTTAGATAACCCTATTATCACCAATCAGGCAAAATTTCAAAGCTCTAGAGCCTCAATTCTTTATTTTATGACTAGGCGCGCCATAAGGTTCCTGCGCCGAAACGTCTAATAATTTTTAAAAAATTCCTTGTTTTTAAGTTTCTCTTTAGGTATATCTTCCTCTACATGTTCAGCTCCCTCATTTACACCTTTCTATCATCACAATACAATAGCCCAAAGAATTGCCAAACGTTCAAAATCACTCGTAAAATTATTTAATTCATTAAAATGTCAACGAAAATCCTCAACAAATAATGAAAAGAATTTTAATTATTTTAATGAATTGGAAAAAAGAAAATCTTTGTTAAATGAGGAAAAGAAAAAGAAAGAAAAACCTTTAATTAAAAGAAAATCAAAATTAAATTTAAATACAACAAAGGAAGTTAATTGGCAACAATTATACCAATCACGTTTAAAATTAAAAATGAGTTCCACAAAACTTTAAAAAAATGGGGATTCTGATACCGTAAATGCTCCAATAGAAGCCCTGGGCGTCTATTTTTCAATGGGTCCCATTGGGTAGGCTTCTAATAGGGCATGGGCTTCTAATAGGGCATGGGCGTTTATTCTTCAATACCCCTCATTGAGTGAGCTTCTAATAGGGCATGGGCTTCTATTCGAGCCGGGCTTCTATTAGAACATTTACGATATTTTTATTTTTTATTTTTAAAGAAATTCTGAATCCTTAGAATTTTTTGTTTTTCAGAATTTTTTTATTAATTCTGAATTTTGTTCAAAATAATATCCCATTAATTCTGTCAAAATAACAACAAAGTCCGCAACTTTTATCCGCAACTATAATATTAATTTTAAAAACAGGTTTACTCAAAAGAGAACAAAAAAGAGGGGATTATTTTGGAGAACTAAAAAATATCCCATTGATTCTAACCTATTCTTATTGGATTGCACGTTTTCTTTATTGTTACCATTGAAGGGAAAATTAGAGGGATATGCGTATAAAAATTGCGGATTTTTGTTGGCATCCCAAAAAATTCCACAAATCTTTTCCAGAAAAATTTTTTATAATTACCGTATTTCCTAAAATAGTACTCCCGGGAGTACTATTTTTCAACCCTCCTCCAAAGGGGAGTACTATTTAAGGGGGGAGTGCTAATTCAGGGGGGAGTATTATTTTTCAACCATCCTCCATGATTTTTCATAGGAAAATTTATTCAAAATTTAAAAAAATATTTTAATTTATTTCAATATATCTCAAAATAAATTCGATTAGAATTCGCTATTTAAAAAATGCCGGATCCGGACCCTGATTTTCAACTTAAAATACGGGTTATTGAGGTAAATCAAGAAGGATATAAGTGGATTTGGAGTGATATCGAGGGATATAAGGGGATTTTAAGCGATTAAGGGGGATATCAATAGATGTCAAAAAAATTATCAAGGGGATAAAGTTGTATCGTTGATATCGTGGCGTTTGATGGTAATAAAATAATTATCATTTAATTTTTGGGATATAGTGGATATATCTTTGTGTCTAAGATTTATCAGGGGTCAACTAATCTCATGTGTCTAGGGATTACCTAATCTTTGTCTAGTAATTTATCAGCATTAATCACAGATATCCTCCACATCCCTTGTGTACTTCCGATATCGGTTGATTAAGAAGGATTTATGATTCAACTTATCGCTTGAGCGCTCTTAATCAACCAAAATCGCCTAATATTACTCCCCTTTCATTATTCCCTCAAATTCCTATATCAAACCTTAATCCAATGATATCTTTTAAATCCCACTTGATTAATACAGAACCCATTTTATCACCCGATATCAATCCCTTTATATACCCAAAATCCACTTTTACCCCACCAATTAATCGGATTATATCTCTTTAATCCTCGAAAAATTTTTGATTAAAATTTCGGTTAGTTTTCGGTTAACCGAAAGCTCTCAGGTTTTGTTTATCAAAGAATCAAGTGAAACCGACAACGCTACTTAGAACAAATAAAATAATTCAATGTCTCTTATTATTTTTTCAAATATAGGGGAAAAACATTTTTGGGGGGAGTACTATTTTAGGGGGAGTACTAATTCAGGGGGGAGTACTATTTTTCAACCCTCCTCCAAAGGGGAGTACTATTTAAGGGGGGAGTGCTAATTTAGGGGGGAGTACTATTTCAGGAAATACGGTATTTTCTAAAACAGTCTATTTATTTACAAATTTATGCAATAAAATCTAGCCAATTTATTTTAAATAATATTAAAAATATGCCCCTTTATAAAAATTAATTTCTCTTAACTTGGACAACAAATTTGCTTTATTTAGGAGCATATTAAAAATAATAGGTTAAAAATATGCAAAATTTTTAAAGTCATGTTTTCGTGAAAATTAAAAAGAAATTTTTAATTTTTTATTTAAATTTTTTCAGCAAAAAAAATTCAACGAGTCTCCACAATCGCATAATTCCCAAAACAAATCCAAGAGACTAGAAGACAACAAACAATTGCTTCTACTGTCATACCTTTAAATTCATTTTAATTTTTATTTATTTTATTTGGAATAAAACAATTCATATTACACATAGTCTTTTCTTTTTAGGAATTCCATACGAATTTTAAAAATAGCCAAGACTTAATGGTCGTCTGTTTCGAGACCATAAAAGGAAGGTTTCGGTGAATTATATTTTCGGTGAATTGTCCCATTTCGGTAAATTGTCCTCCTGTGAATCATTTTTTCTGTGAAATTATCCGAGTGTTTCCCATATAATTTTTAGTTTAATATTTTAAAAAAACTCCTCACATATAGTAATTCCAACCATAATTTTATAGTCTTCAGTACGTGAATAACGTTCATTGCTGAACAAAAACAGAACACAAAGAATTAAAGACAAAACAGAAAGTCCAGCAATTATTGAATGTGTAATCATATCCTTCAATTTAAATTTTTATTTAAAAAATTTTTTAGAGAAAAACCGATCGATAGAAAGTCAAAAATCGATTGAGAACGGGTGGAAGTGCCCATCCTAGCAAAAATCCACAAGTCAGGACGAGCACGATAAATGTATTTACGTACCACTGCCAAATTGAATTTCGCAAGATAAAAATTAAAACGAGAACTACGAGTCCAATAATCTTTAAAAAATATTTTTTAAAAAATTTTTGAAAAAAAATCTAAAAAAAATTTTTTTAATTTTTTAGTTGAAAAATTTTTTGAAAATTAATTTTTTAGAACGTGCGCAAAAAATCTCCTACAACTCGAAACGCAAAAATTTGGCGTTATTCTACGTTGTAAAATAAACTTGGCGCACAGGCAGATTTAATCCCTATTGAAGTTTAATTTAATTTACAACATACCGCAGAAATTAATTTAATACTCCAAATAGGAATCATTCGAATTCTTGGACCAGTCCCTGCGACTGTCCTTGTTGTGACTGTTCTAGTAGTGACTGTTGTGGCCATTTTTTAAATATATTTTCTAAAAAATAAAAGATTTTGGATAAAAATTTAAATAACAGAAAAAAAATAATTGGATGAAGCAATAATTTAATAGGAGATGTTAGGCATGTGTGGGTATAGTATAAAACATTTAGTAGAGATCAGTCTTGGTCGGCACCTGGGCTGACCGTCGCCGCCTGTTCTAAGTCATTCTTGACTATTGCCACGTTCGTATTCATGTGTTTATAAACAAGTTATTCGATTCCTGTGTTATTCTATTATTCGCTAGGTACGACCGCGTCCTAGGACATAACAGGAGATTAAATGAAATTTTTGAAAGGAAAGTCAAAAATACAGCCAAAAATTGATAAAAAAAGAAGTCTTCTAACAATGATTTTTTGAATTTAAATAAAAAAGTGTATGAGCTGAAAAATTTTATCCTGTATAAAAGATTTTGGATATAAAAAAAGTACTCAAAAATAGAAGGTATTGTGTAGGCGGCAACGTATGTATGAGATAAAATAAAATGAGATAATGAGAAAATAAATTTATTTTTGAAGATAAATGTCAATATATTTTTGTCTAAAATATAAGAAATTTGAGGGAAAGACCGTTAGTTTTGGAAAAAAAATTTGAATCGTTTTTTAATAATGTTAGTGAATAATACTACATAGTGAAGAAAAAAATAAAATAGTTTAAAGGAGAAATATTCACTAAATTTTAAAATACGTCCAAAATAAATCGTTAAATTTCAAAATTTTTTTCTTGCTTTTTTTAAATTAAAAGCTAAAGAATTTTTTTATAATAAAAAGAATATTTTTGAGCCTTCTCTAAAATAAATTCAAGAAGCCATGTGCCTCAATAGCTAATTAAATTTTAAAAACGTATCTTAAATTGAATAATACACAAAATAGAGGGTATTTTATAGTGAGTGAAGGTTGTCGGTCCGAAAAAGGACCGGATATCCGGAAATTTTCAGTTCGGATACCTGATCCGGATATCCGAAGATTTCCAACTATCCGACAACCTTAGAGTGAAGTATATAAAATAAATATTGAAAAAATCTTTCGATTTTTTTTAGAAAATAATTTTGTAAGTGAATAATACTCACGAAAAAAAAATTTAAAAGAGCAAAATAACATTTTAAAATTACGTCCAAAATAAATCGTTAAATGTCAAATCAAATCAATTAAATGTCAATATTTTTGTTTCGTGTATCTTTTTGTTTTTTTATAAATTAAATAAAAATCAACCAAAAAAATTTTTTTTAATAAAAAGAATGTTTTTGAGCTTTTTTCTAAAAATATATTTATTTCAATAGCCATGTGGCAGAAACAAAAAAGCTTTATGTCAGAATAAATAAAATAGAGAAAAGAGAAATTTATACCAGTCAATAACCAAAAAGAAAAAAGAATTTATTTAAAGAATGTGTCTTAAAAACAAAAGATTTTGCGGACAAACATTTGCGGCGCAAAACAAAAATTTAATAAACTTGGAGGTTAAAACAAGTATTTGATGGAATTTTTAGATAGAAAAACACATAATTTATGTTAAAAATAGAGAATAATGTTTTAGAGACCGAGCTGTAAGGCAGAGTCGTACGAGAATCGAAATGATATCTCGAAATTTTCATTTTCTAGATAACTGCGATTTTCTAGTCGAGATTTCGTCTCGGTTTCTAACTTATATTTTAATAAACATTTTCACACTATGCTCCGTCAAAAATGTGTTTTAAAAAAATAAATTTCTCTCTTTTTATTTAAAATGTAGTAAAAGAAATTTATTTTTGGAGTTCTCAATTTCTTCTGTTAAAAATTTAAAATTTAAAAAAAATTTATAAAAAATGAAAAGTAAAAAAAACTTTTGTTAAAATTAAAAACAAAAAAATATCCACATATTAATTTTTTTATTAAATTTGAAATAGTCAATAAATTAGAAAAATCACTCTTTTAAAAATCTCTCTCATACTTTATTAAAAATTTTGACATTTCCTAGACAAGATATTGTTGCCATTAAAGGCAATTCTCTAAAAATTTAATTTTTAAAAAACATTAATTCTTTTAATTTTATAAGAAAAAGTTTTAAATTATTTTCTACCATTTCCTTACGTTTACTCACCGAGTATTGTTTTAGTTCGAATTAATAAATTCCATGGATATCTAAAACCAGCCCAAAAAATCTCGAACCGACAACCCCCAAGAGTTACACAAATTAAAAACTAATATTTTAGATTATTTTAAATTCCCTTTAACTGAAATCGAAAATTACCAAAAATTGAAACCTTGTAGGTATAACTAGGGTTGGGGCCCGGTTCGTTTCGAAAGTTCGAATCGGACATCGAATTTTGGCCAGAAAAAGACCACGGTTCGATAAAAATGGGCCCCGAAAAAAAACTCGACCGGTTCGGCTCCAAAAAATGACAGAACGTCGGTCCGATTCGAAAACCCCAACCCTAGTTATAAAACTACTTTTTTGAAATTATATAAAATAAAATTAATTACCCAATCCAAGGAACTCCAGCCATTTGTAAAAACATTCTCCACTCAAAATCAACATCTTTTTCCAATATATTTTTATTTTTTCCTTTATTTTCTTCAAAATCGTGTTCATTTCTAATTTTTATAACCAATTTCTTTAATTTTCTTGAAACATCGTTTTCAGGATCAAAAATATTCATATCTCGTTGTCTTTCAACAAAAAGCAATATATCAAGTAAAAGACCCACCAAACGGGCATAAATACGGCAGTAATCGAGTGGATACTTAAAAATTTTTAAAAATATTTTTTAAATTAATTTTTAAAATTCAAGGAGAAAATTAGAAAACACTACGAATTCCCTCAATGAAATAATGGAAAGGTTTCAGTATCCATCAGAGATTTGACCGAAATAAAAAATAAATTCACTATCACCAAACCACACCCGGTTCTATGTGTTAAAACACATGGTCTGGTAATATTCGTGTGTATCATAACTCTGAGTGGGTAGAGCTTTCCATTTCCATAGATTTTAGGTGTACGGAATTTTGGTCACCGGAATTCTGGTCACCACGCTTTTTCGGAACTTTGGTCACCAGCGGAATTTTGGTCACCAAGTCAAAAAACGGAATATTGGACACTGAAATTTTGGTCACCAAGAGGAATTTTGGTCACCAAACGGAAAAAAAGAATCTTATCTGAAACTGATATCAAAGTGATAAAAAATGATTTTTCATCCCCCAGTTGATCAATTTCAATGTTTATCACTTTGCTGGCTGATCACTCGCCCGTTGATCACTCTCGATCACTCTACCGGATGATTAATTAACTGGCAGTGTGATCAACATAGAAATTGATCAACTGTGAGTTGAAAAACAATATTTTTATCACTTTGATATCAGTTTTAGATAAGATTCTTTTTTTCCGTTTGGTGACCAAAATTTCAGTGTCCAATATTCCGTTTTTTGACTTGGTGACCAAAATTCCGCTGGTGACCAAAATTCCAAAAAAATTGGTGACCAAAGTTCCGAAAAAGCGTGGTGACCAGAATTCCGGTGACCAAAATTCCGGCACCCAGATTTTATGGTAATTTAGTGTAAAACTGGGTACTTAAAAAATGTGATTGTAAGCATAAAATTTTGTTTAAAACATAAACTTTTCATTGTACGCATAAAGGTACGAATAGATGCTTATTGTTAGTGTTAAACTGGACAAGAGCCATGAAAAATTTCGAAAGAAACCTCTTTAGGATGGAAATGCATCAATAAATCCTGTACAATAACAGTTTCCAATCTTGTAGAAATAAGTTCACGAAAATTACCAGCTTCACGGCTAACCGAACATAAAATTAAATAAGCCAAAGGATAATTATCCAAATCTTCCATTTTCTCAATTACATTATTTATCCTTGGCGTTGTAGGTAATTGATTGAAAGTAGACAAAGATTTTTTGTTATTTGTAATTTTTAAAGTTTTGGTTGAAACATCTTGAAATAAATGTTGTTGATCTTTTACTGTGTCTAAATTATTGGCACACAAAACTGCATAATCATATTCCAATAAGGCAAGCAAAAATTGTTTAAATTCTAATGGAAGTTTGTCGTTTCTGGAAAAACAAAACTTTTTATTTTATGAATGCAATACGAGGAAATTATTTTAAAAAATGCTTAATGGGACAGGGTAGCTACACTCATGCACAAAAGTTATTGCGCGTCAAGTTGAAATAAAAAAACATATGTACACGCGCAATTACTTTTGCGCATGAGTGTATCATTTTTCTTAATTTTGACATATCTAACAAATTTAAAAAAAGCCCACAGAATTTGGAAAAATAGGGCAAATAAAAAAATGTTGCTTAAAGGAAAAGAGCCAATCTAATGAACCAAAAGAAGAAACACCCAAAAAATCTAGTTTTATTAGATGAATTATTTGGATAGTAATACAAAAATGGAGATTATAAAATTCTAGAAGATCCCGTAAAATTTAAAGAAAAATTAAAAATTACTTGAAATATTTGAGAATTTCTTTAGAAAATTTATCCAAAGTTTTAAGCAAATCATGGTCAGAATAAGCCTCTTTAAAGTCAGAAAGTATAATACACATCCATTCCCATCTATAATATGCATTTATTGGCGGACGAGTTTCCAAAATTTCCATCAAAAAATTAAAAACTTCTTTTCGATGAGATTTAAATTGTTCGGAATTTTCCTGAAAAAAATTAGAAAATATATTCAGTTTTTGTTTAAAATAATAGAGCCTCATATCTTAGTGATCAACACTTAATTAAGGCACTACTAATGATAAGATACATTTTTAATTTACAATCAGTACGAGGGAATTTTATAGTGAGGTCAATCTTGTTGGGTATGTGCTTACAACGAGAGGTCGCGAGGTGTCCGACCTAAAAACGGTCGAGACCGGGCTCATTCGATATAGAATGTGCCCTTTCTAGCAAGGATTAAGAGCTGTTTTCGCCCGTTTTTTGGTCTGGTCAAGATATAATACTGACATATCCAGCGTTAGCTAGTTATTACTCGGACACCCCGCAGTCAAGGACATAAAAAACTTATATAAAAATGAGAAAATTTACGTGTAAAAATCGTCTAATGAGTTGATCTATAATTTCTTTCGTCATATTAACTCCAAAATTTTGTCTAAGTTCATTTAGAATTGATTTAAGTTGAAAATGTTTTAACTTAAAAATAAAAAAATAATTTAGAAAATACTTTAAAAAATTAAACGTCAATATCATTCATGGCAGTAGCGTCAAATCGGCTTTCAAATAATTTATCCAAACGATGTTCATCCATAATCTGACTGACATCGTTTTTTGATGTTGAAGGAAACGAAGACTAGAAAATATAAAAAATAAAAGATTCTTTTTAAATTTCCAACCTCTTCTTTTATTTTCCTTCTCATTTTTTCGACTAGTCCAAAGTTTGCTTTAGTCCAATTTAAATTAACTTTTTTTGATTCTATTGATGAAAGAAGTGATTCAATATTAAAATTCTCCATTTGTGAAAATAAGAATTTCTAAAAATTATTTTAAAGAAATTAAAGAAATGAAAATTGAATAAAAACGGCACAAAAAATAATTTTTAGCACTTATTACCATTTTTATAAGTTGGTATTTTGTAATAAACTTGCTTTATTTATATGAATTTGCTTAATTTCAAAATGTAAACTAGTGTAAATTTTTACAAAATACATAAAATTTTTTTTATATTATTTGATTTTAGAATTCTTAATGTTAAATTTTCGATTACAACCTTCAACTTCCTTTATTCGTTATTTTTCTAAAAGAAAAGAAGTTGAGCGTTATTTGGAAAGACAAGCAAATGATCAATATTCACGTCGTGCCAAAGAACATTCCTACAGAGCTAGAAGTGCATTTAAATTGTTGCAAATTAATGAAAAATTTAATTTCATAAAACCAGGTGAATTTCTAAAATTTAGTTTTTAACTTTCAATAAAATCTTGATCTCGATTTTTGGCAACGATGCTAGTTGCTTTATATAAAAATTAATGAAATTTGAAAAATTCCCTGGGCGTGGTTCTGGGTAATAGTGAAGAATTAGGTAGACACCTTAAAAATTATTTTTTTTTTGAAAATAATTTTGGTTCTGGATCCAATTCTAGGCTTGATCCAACTCATGTTCATGTTAGGATTTTTAAATTTTAAACTATGATTTTTTTAACTAAATTAATGGACTTTAAATTTGTTTTTATTATTGGCCTTGTTGCACTGGATGTTGGAGCAGGTTTTTATATATTTCAATGCCTCCTTAATCTTCTTTTATTTTGTTAGCTCCTGGTTCGTGGTGTCAAGTTCTGAGTGAATTAATCTTCCCATTAAATCCGTTGCATTCAAATCAAACTGAAATTAACAAGAATGGTCTTCAAAAAAGTCAAGATGGTTATATTCTGGGAATTGATTTACTTGTAAGTTTTTGGTAGGAATTTAATTTACATTTTTTATGTTAATTTTAAACTTTGTGTCTCATTAATCAATTCCCCCCTTTCTACACATGGCTATAAATAGTTACACCTTTATTGAATTAACAATAAAAATGTTGTGTTTTCACCATTCTCATGCTTGTTATATACCCAAGTTTAATCTTTTCTGATTAACTTATTAGCCATGGATAAAATGGAAAAATTGCGGAGAAATTAAAAAAGGGAAAACATAAATTCAAAATTACCTAATTTTCTCTTTAGCCAATTTCGCCAATCGATGGTGTTGATTTACTTTGTAAAGCAGACTTTCTTAAACCTGCAACTCAAACAGAAATTATTCGAAGGCTTCAAGGAAGACAAGTTAATTTGTTATTGAGTGATATGGCTCCAAATCCTATAGGTTTATTTTTTTATTTTTAAATTTATTTAAAAAAATTTTTAAAGGAGATTCCAGAGTTGACCATTTCCGTATAATTCAACTATGCAAATCTTTACTAGATTTTGGAACAAAAGAAAACTCTATTGACGGGAAAACAATTTTGGCAAAAGATGGAATTTTTCTTTGCAAGGTAAGCAAATTTTTCTCTAAAAGATTGCCGTTTGTATTTTCTTCTAGGGTTGTTGGCGACCGGTTTTAAAATCGGCAATTTGTGAAAATGGGTGATTTTATTAGAAATTCCCACAAAATAAAACCGGTATTTGGCTGCAACTCAAAACCGAGAACCGGGTTTCTAAAAGTTAGATTAACCTAAACCTGGGGGTGCCGGTTAATAACCGGTCGCCAACAATTCTATTTGCTTCCCTCCACAAAAAATTTTTTCTCTTAAAAAATTTTTTTGCAGATTTTCGACGGACAGGACAGAAGCGAATTAAAAAATAATTTGAATGATTATTTTCATCAAGTAAAATTTATAAAACCAGATGCAAGTAGAGACAACAGTTCAGAAATATATATTTTTGCTTCGGGGTTTAACAATGACAAAAGAAGAAAATGAAAAAATGATTAAAAGTTGTTTTTTGTTTTTTTTTTTGTTTTTAAATAAATTTGTTTAAAAAATAATTTTTTGTAATTTCTTATTAGTTTGAATACCCCGAATCTTATAAATATTTTTATTTTTTTATTAATTTGGTTTTTGCGGACACTTTATATAGCAACGTGTAATGAGACAATTGGTTTTTTTGGCGTGTAGGAATGATGGTATTTTAGTAGTGAAGAGAATTGCAACGTTCAAAAATACTGTTCAAGATTCGTAACATTCAACTTTTTTTACTTTTTGAAATCCTTTGAAAACATTTAAAATTTAATATTAGCTATTTGTCCGCAAATGTTAAAAATTGTCCGCAAAAATTAATATTTCTTTAGAGAAGAATTTAATCATTTTAAATGTCTGAGGAGGCTTCTCAATTGGAAAAGAATGCCGAAGAACTTAAAAAACATGAAGAATTGCTTTTACGAAGTAAAGTGATGGAACGAGTAAATAAAAAATTAACTTCCGAGAAGAATGAATTGACACGCAAACTTCACGCAATTAAAAGTTTTAGGCGTTAGTTTAAATTTAATTTTTATTTAGTCAAAGAAATTTTTGGTTGGGTCCCTTCAGGGATGTCTCGGGTCAACGGAAAAATTCTGGCCGGGTTCTCAAAAATTTCCTCGGATTGGGTATCGGGTCGAAGCAAAGTCCTTGTTTAGGATTTGGGTAATTCGAGATATCAATGGTTCCCTTTTTTGGTCTTCATTTCCCTTTGTTTTATTTATGGCTGGAAAGAAATATTATTTAAACCATTCGATAACTAGTTATTAGGGGAACTATTGGTGCAAAACAAAAATTGTTTTGAGGTAAAATAAAAGAAATAGACAAAAAGAAAACTTAAGAGATACCAACCAAACTTTGTAAAAAAATACTTTAATTTTATTTTAAAAAATTATTTTTTAAGCATTACAAGGCTGTATTAAACTTACTTTGGAAAAATTTCGCATTCTTGCGTTAAATCCAACACTTTTGGCCATTTATTCTGGACCAATTCAATTGGGTGGTTTTCATTGGAAACTTTGTGCTGAACGGAGGTTTTATTTTTAAAAATTTTTAAATAAAAAATTGAAATTTTCAGTGTTGACAATTGGTTGGGCCTTTATCTTTGTATTTATGTGCCAAAAAGTTGTCCGGAGGAATGGGAATGCCGCGTCAATTTGTTTGTTTTTTAATTTTATATTTTCAAAGTTAACATTTTTATAACTATATCAGCAGAAATTTAATTAGGTAACCCGTTGTCCCCGTGGTGAAGTTGGTAGTGGTTTAGACTTTCTCTTGGAGGGTTGAAGGTTCGAATCCGACCGATGAAATTTTTTTAAACTTTTTACAAAAATTCTAATTTATAAGTTTAGCACTTTTTGTATGAAACATATAACTGATGTTGATGCTTGTATTCACAGAAGTAATGGGAAGCCTATTGTTTTTTCGAATGCTTTGGGTCGTCGTGGAAGGAGCGGTTTTGCTGACTTTGTTGGAATTTATGTATAAATTTTTTTATATTTTATAAAAATTAAAAAATAATTTTTTTAAGCATTTGCTCGATCCTCAAAGCGGTAAATTTTTATCTTTACATATTTAATTTTGAATTTGAAAAAAAATATTTAATATGAACATTCGGAAGGAGTATTACAAATTATTAGATTTACGTTTAGGGTTTAACTTTTATTTTTCCATTCTGGGTTTCTTTCAAGGATTGGGTTCTGTCTCGTTTTAAAGAGCAAAAGACGGAAGAAAGTAAAGTCGTAGTTCTGAGAAAGTGGGGGCGGAGACCCTTGTAACCATTTCACTTTTAAGAAATCGGAATAATATCTAAATACCAAGTTTTCTTAAAAATAACCATTTTCGGATTCTGGTAATTCTAACAAAGATAAATTTCTGAGAAAGAAAGAAAAAATTTTTTCTTCAAGTTTAAATATTTATTTAAAAAGGTTTTGCTGATTTGCAAGATTGTGTTAAAATGGGTGTCAGTTTTACTATTGTTTATTCAACTCAAACTTGAAAAAAAAAAGAAAAATTTGAAAAAAAGTTTGGAGATCTCACTCAGCAATTCTTTTTTTACTTCTTGCCTCAACTTTCTCTTAAAAAATTTTATTTATTTTTTGTTTTGGGTGCCTTTACCGGAATTATTCAAAAGATTTTTTGTTGTTTTAATTTATTTAAATGCAAATAAGCATTCCGGTCCTTTCAAGTTGTTTTTTTTTTAATTTATTTATTTTTGATCAATAAATCTTGAAAATAATTCTGATATTTTTTTCAGTATTGAAATTCGGATTAGGGAAGATTTTAATACGTGAAGTTGGACTTTACTCCAAAAGTCGGTCGGAATTCCAAGTTCTGTCGTTTTTTTTCGATTTCCAAAACTGAAAATTACAAACTGAAAATCTTGATATCCCAGTTAAGATTAATATTCCTTGCAGGATCATTTTTTTCTTACCTTTTCACACTTACCTTTTAACAATCTTCATTTACATGTCAATCATTTACTTGAACGTTTAGGACAGCATGGGGAAGAGGATTAGTTTTAAAATTTTGAGGGTTTTTAGCGGTTTGAGTGACTTGTAATCTTCAATGGTTATATAGGATTTTTCTATGGAATATTGCAATTAATCATTTTAGTATTGTATCACAAATGGACGGAGATTTTCAAGGACAATAAATTTTTTCGACTTTCTTTACGACTTTCTTACAAAGTTGCCCAACTTAGGGTGAAGGAAGGTTTAAGTTTTACAGAATAGTTGGTTAACCTATTTTCCTATTTTTCCTAATTTCTAAGCAAAAAATCAAACAACAATTTATCACAATTAAAAAATAGACAAGATAGAAAACAGGAAATATATTTATTTACAATAGACAATATTATCACTAGATATAAATATTAATCCCTCTCTCACATCCCCATTTATTCTTCAAGCTCCGTCACTGTCTCATTTTCCACAGGAGTCACCGTCTCATTATCCGATCGCTCATTTTCCCCATCGTCTTCCTGTGTCTGCCCAACATCCACTTCAGCTGTAACCGACTTTTCGTCTTCCCGTGCCGTGTTTGCACTTTGTGCCTGCCCAACATTCACGGGAGCTACAGTCGACTTTCCGATTTCCTGTGCCGTCTTTGCACTTTCAACACCCACTTGAATCGCCGTATTAACGTTCGGTCCATATTCCGAGTCTCCTGTAGTTATTACAACGCTTCGTGGTCTTGTTGACTTTCCATCTTCCCGTGCCGTCTCTGCGCTTTCAGCATCCACTTGAATTGCCGTATTAACTTCCGATCCATACTCCGAGTCTCCTGTAGTTATTACAATACTTCTTGGCTGAAAAAATAATTTGGATTTACATATTTATTCCTAAAAAGGTTTATTACCATTTTCTCTTCCTTTAGCTCATTTTCATCCTTCATCATATTGAAGCAAATCCACCCCGCGTTTATGACGATCCAGCCAACCAGTAGAAGAATGAAGAGAAAACTCCAGACAGGCGAAATTGACGACTTTGTTTCAGCTGAAGGAGCAGAAGTTGTCGTTGCTGTTGCAGTCTCTGAAGATGTAGTTGGACACTCACAAGGAGCAGACGTTGTAGTCTCTGGTTCCGGTGTAGTAGTAACCGTCGTTGTTGTAGGTGGCGGAGGAGAGACAAACAGCAGCTCGTAGTCCGGTCTTTCCTGAATTAAAGAAATCTAATGGGGCCCACAAATTGGGACAAAGTTACTCACAAATTGGACGAAGAGATGACATTTTTGCCTGGCTGGTGTACCCACAAGTTTCTTACCACTCAACACAACAGACGCACTCGCTGGAAGCAGACTGAAGACGAGTAGACGTTCACCTTCCAGATTGTCATTTGTGATGGTCCATGTTTCTGGGGCAACGAAGGGAGTGTTCCTTGGAACGCATTTAATTTTGTCCACAGTCAAGGGCAGCACAGATGAGTCGAAGGTCTGCTCATGAGTCAAATTGCCTCCAAAATTCATCGTAAATCTGTGTTCATTTTCTATCTCTATATCGATGGTCTTATCCTCAGAACCATCACTCTCGGCTTTATCCTTCTTGCCGGGAGTCACTTCGCCAACTGAAAAAACAAAAATACAATTCAGGCATTTATGTTCGAGTTTTATTTTACCTAAACGAGTGAACGCGTAGTAATAATAATCCGTTCTGGTCCAAGAGACTTCGAGAATCGTCCACGGCATGCACAATCCACACGCCTCTTTTTTCTTACATATTTCCTCATGAGTATAGTGTGGACCCTTGCTGAGCCTTTCGACATCCTTGTTGTTCTTGCTGTAAACGAAGGGCATACTAAAAAATAGAAAATCAAATTTTTCAACAAATTCAAAACCTACGTGTTGTTAAAGCTCTCCTGGACTTTGGTTCCACTTCCAAAGCACTGACCTCCTTTGTTCCTCACTCCAGCTTTGAACTTGATCCTGTTGTTGTTGCTTTTGTTCCTGCTGAGGAGGTCCATTGTGCATGTCTTGCCGTCGATGTTAAACTCACTGGAATGGAAAACAATTTACTAGATTTGCAATAAATCCTTAAAAAAAGGCAACTTACATAATGTTTTTGTCGATATAAGCCTCACATGAATTCGGGAAGCGCTTCATGTACAAGAAAGAGTTAAAGTTTTCCTCGTTGGCTATTATTGTGTAGTTGACAAGCGTAACATTGTTTCCAATCTTTTTGTGATTGGCAACTCCGACGAATTCCTCCTTCATCTGTCCAGGCACTTCACACACAAGGAATGTTGCGATGACGAGCAGCAGCAACAACAAGGAGCACAGCGTTGACGATTTACTTGTCCCAGGGCCGGTGTCGAGGTAGTAGACGAGCATTAAAGTGTTATAGCTTTAGGCGTGGAGAACGTGGTGTTTTAGGATGTTTTACAATGGTTGGCATTGAAGGGATAGATGTGCTTTTTATAGTACAATTTTTTTTGATTGTCTTTTACATAGAAAGCGGAACGGGGTTCGGGACCCGGTCCCGTTTCCCGGCTTTTTTAAAGATGCCGGGATGAAACCGAGATAGTGAATTCCCGGTCAGAGTCCCGGTCGGTTAATTTTCATTTCACGTTCCCGGTTTTTCCAAAATTCCGCCCTCTACTTTTACAGCTCCAAAAACAAAAAACAAAATTTATTTTTTAACAACTATTTTAACATTTAACAAGAGAAATATGTTCAATTTTCTTTTTTCTATTTTGTCTATAATTTTCATGATTATTTGTCCACGGCCCTCTACTTTCATTTGCATAATAATCCATTGGATAATCATTTAATTTAATTAAATTATTATTTGATAAAATTGCTGTAGACATTTCAAAAGGAGTTAATAAAGGTAGTTTAAATGTGTGCCCCCAATCTATTGAAAGTCTTGGACAGGCTATTTGGACCCAACTAGAAAAAAAATAATTTTTTTGGTTTAATTAAAATTACCAATCTATTGAATTAAATTTATCTAATATAGATCCAAATATTTCAGATAAAAGTATTTTTATTGGTTGTTTTCCACTATTTATTAATTGTTGTTCAATATACTTGAAAAGAAAAATTTTTTAAATATTTTTAAGGTAAAAACAAAAAATTTTTTTGGAAATCTTTATAGGGAAAATTTTTAAAATTATTCTAGAAACCCTTGTATTTTTTGCCCCTTAATTTAAAAATCCCGACTTTATTTTTCTTGTAAAATTTGTGAATAAGTGAGAAGTCCCTTCACTTTAACAATTGATGTATTTTTAATAAAATTAATCCCAGTTATTAGGAAACTCTTTTTCCCATTCCTATGAATTTTTTGTTTCTTGTTACTACTTTTTTATCACCAAAGTTTCCCTAATTTTAAGTTAAAGTTTGTTATATGTAATACCGTATTTCCTCTAATTGAGCGACGGCCTCTGATTGAACGGCAATCCCCAATAGAGCGGCACTTTGACAGGGGGTTAAAAAATAGAGCGGCATGTCGCTCAATTAGAGGAAATACGGTATCTCAGTCAAAGTCTCATTGTCAGATCCCTCCAAGAGGAGAACGAGATAATAATCACCCAAGGGCTATCACTCGAAAAAAATAACAAAATTCCTCTTTCCCCTTTCTTACACAAAATTATAATTTCATTAAAACTCTCCCCCTCTCCCCCCTTTTCTATTCCCTATAAATTTATTCAATTCCACAAATTACCTCAAATATTTTAATATTTCCCTGTCTCCCCAAAGTTCCAAGAATTAAACCAATTCTTTTTGATTTTCTAGCAATTTCAATAGCTTTTTGTCTATTTGAAAGTAACATTTCAAAACCATATTTTTCAATAGTAAATTCATGTGAATAGGGATTATATTGATATGCTGGGATTTTTGGATTGTGAATCATTATTGATTCTAAATGGAAACGGCCATCACCCAGATAACTTAAAATAATTTTTTATAAATTATTTATGGTGTGTTTTCCTTCTCATCTCATACCTAAATTTTGTCTCAGGATTTAGGGGACATCTACCCTATACAATTTATCATAAGTTTAATTGAGATAACTGGAGCTTGGGACATGTAGATAAATAGAAGGGAATCTTTTTTAAACTTAATCTTTCGGAATGATATAAGAGTCCGACGGTTTTCCCACATATAATTAAGGCTTCCTCCCTTCCCTTCCCTTAATACAACCAGTAAAAGCATCATTTTAACTCCCAAAGCCTTCGAACTCTTCACTCTATTAATTAAAAATAAATCCTTCCTCACATTATAGCAGAAACATCATCAGATAATTTAGGCGATGTACACCCCAAAAGTTCTCCGGGACTAAGAGGATTAGCTTGAGGTATAATTATTTGAAAACCATCCTTTTCTAATTGTTTTTTGGCTGCCTTTAAAAAGGATTTTTTTTATTCTTATTTTTAAAAAACTTGTAAAGAAGCAATAAACTGTATTGTGCTAACTAAAGCAATTTTTAAAGAATTTTTGTTTAAATTAAAATTTTGTTTTATTGTATCATAAAAATGTGTTATTTGGATATCTATATTGACAAAAACATAAAGTAAATGAATTCCAATTGTGTGTTGTATTGGGACCTTTTTAAAGAAAGAAAAATTATTTTTTAATCAAATTTTTGTTTAATAAAGCAGGAAGTCACAAAATAAATAAAGGCTAGACCTAGTTGTGAATTTCTAGAGAATAAAAAAATTAATCAAGTCCTCCAAAAACCCCTTTATTTTTTCCCAATAAAAGATTCTGTTTTCCCTTATTTAGTCAATCCTCATTCTCAATTAGTTTTCGACACACCCCAATACTACTGCGGTACTACCAATATTAGTAACGTATCGGTTACGGTCAATAGTGCCGGTAATGGTATCGAAAAAATTCATTAGCCATTTCACTAATATCAAGGAATAAAAAATTTATTTTCGAGTAAATCCCTTTGTTGGTCAATTTAGAATCTCAAAAATAATCAAAAGAAATCTTTTGGAAAAATTCTATCATATTTATTGTCATTTACAAATGCATTTTCTGTTGTAGTGACTGCCCAAATTATTTTAGAAAAACTCCTCCCAAATCTCGAAACTAACCAAGCAACTATGTGCATAATGTACAAGCAAATCACAACCCAAAGCCCTAGCCGTATAATCATCTACACAACAAGCTCCGTAAGTAACATCCCCCAAAATTATAAATTCAACATTTTGAGTATATTTTTCTAAAATATCGGCAATTAAACAGGCAAACATTGTTAATCCTTCAGGCATTTGGAGAGCAACTGAAATGGGGAACGAAATTAAATGAGAAATCCAATCAATCTCAGATCCAGAAATGGACTCGAGTTGGGGAAGACTAATAAACGAGGTAAATAAACAGAGTGGTAATTAAGAGTTACAAGATACTGGAATTCAGGAATTATCTTCTACAAGCTAGGATCCCTATGGAAAAAATGGAGAACGTGGGATAACTGAGATTGACTAGAATATAGAAAAGTTAAAGGTAAAGGGTTATCTCACGAGGGAAATTCCCGAATTCTTAAATTCAAGAGTTTTAATAAAACATTTTAAATAAAAATTACGACATCGCGTAAATGTTATAATTTGCCAAAAGTTTATACTAGAGACCGCGCGGGACGGGATCTCGCGCGGGAGTTTGCGGGATCCCGTCCCGCAAATTTAAATTGCGGAATTTTATCCCGTCCCGCAAAGATTTAAAAAAAATCCCGCAAGTGGGTTCCAGCAAACACGATTTTGCCGATCTCTAGTCAAAACAACATTTTATCTAACAATAAAAATTTTATGTCATAGTTTGAGAGGTTCCTTTGGAGGTTTATATGGAGATAAATGGGGGATCTTTAAATCTTAAAAAACCATTATTTTTTTCTGAAATTAAAAATTAACTCAAATTCATTTTCACTTACCAGTTTTGCTCTGTGTACTGTTAATTTTCCATATAGTTTTTGGAATTTCAAAAGAATAATTTTGTGGTAACTAAATAAAAATTAGATTTAAATTAAAAATAAATTCCAAACAATTTTCAAATCCTTTATTAAATTTGGATTCTGAGAAATTTCTTCAATTTCTTGTCGTTGTTTACTTCTTGTTGCCAATAATGATGAAGACATTTTTTTAAAATTAAATATAAAATTTAAAAATTATAAAAATTAGCTAAAAAATAATTTTCTTTATAAAAATATTAAAAAAAATTTTTTTTGTTTAAAAACAATTTAAAAAGAAAAATAAATAAAAATTAATTTTAGAATAAATGCTTTTTATTTAATTTTAAATAAATATGGCAATATTAAAAAATACAGAAAGCCTAAGAAATTGAACAAAAAAACCTAACAGGTGAGATACGTATTTATGTGTATTTATAAAAGGGAAAGGGACATAATTTGATCTTAATTGATAATTAATTTTCCAATAAAAAATGATAAATATATTTCGTAAAAATTAAATTTCTCATTTTTAAAATTAATGAAAAATTATCAAAGAAAGGATTCGTACCACAACCAACCAAAACCCTAAAGAAAAAACAACAGATATACATATCTCGTTATACCCTAATTTATTCTAAATATAATAAAATTCTATTTTTGAGACTTAATATTAAATTAAATTTAAAAAAAATTAAAATTAAAAATGAAAATGTTGAGACTTTAAACAATAAAAAGCCGGGTTAATTGTTAACAATTTTGGTTCTAATTTTGGCCAAAAATTTTTGTATAATTTTGAAGAATTAAAACCAAAGAAAGCTTCAATTAAAGGTCTATTGAAGAGTTGAAGTCTGCCAAAAAATAATTTAAAAAAATAAAAAAAAATTCAAAAAAACTTGTTTCCCGTCGCTGAACATAAAAATTTGTAATAATTTCGACGAAGTAAATGAGGCTCTAAAACAGCTAGGCCTAAAAGATAACTAGAAAGTGTACAGAAGAGAAGTACATCTCCACCAGGAATTATTGGTAAATTATTTGAACAAATTAATTTGTAATAAATTAACTAGAAAAAAATAAAAAATTTAATTAATCTTTGTTTAATCAATTTTAAATCTTTAAAAACAAAGTTTCGAAAAGGAATTATAATTTTAGATTGATTATTTTAAAATTAATTCGACTCGAAAAATTATTGAAAATCGTTTAAAAGTAAACTTTTAAAAAAATAATACTCCGTCAAGGACTTCAATTTTTAAAAATTAAAGTTTAAAAACCATATAGTAGAGCGAAAAAACAAATAAAAATTCCCTTTTATTCAGTATTAACATTAAATCGATTTCGATCAAAAAATTAGCATAGAAAATAAAGGTAAAATTTTTCACTTTAAAAAAGCCTAAAAAACCTCTACATCTTTCCCAAAATTTACTTAAATCAATTCAAAAATTAACAAAACAATTAATTTAAAAAAACCTCAATCATTTTCCAAAATGTATATAACGCCAAAGTATTGTTTTGCCAAAATATAGCCATTGAAAGAAAAGAACTCAGAGCAATAAATAAAAATTGTTTTTGTTTTAAGAAATTAAAGGGGCGAGTAATTGAAGTAAAAAACTTTAAAAAAAATAATTCTTTTAAAATTTAAAAAATAAAAAAAAACCTCAAAAAGTAAAGGAATTGAAGCTAGAAAAAGAGGAAATTTTAATGTATTTTGTTGTTTGTTAAACAATTTGTAAATATTTAATAAAGTAAAAGATGCTAGAAAATTTCTTGTAGATATCTAAAAAAATATATTTGAACAAAAAATTTAAGAGAATCATTCTCTCATTAAATCTCTCTCATAAAGACGTCAATATTTCAAAAAGGAAGATAGTAATAGTGCCCGGCAAAATATTAAAGAAAGTATTAAATCGACAATTTTCGGTAGTAGCTTTCCGAAAAAAAAGAAAACAAGCTCCAAGCTTGAAAAAGAATAAGCTCCAACAGAAAAAGAATACAAGCCCCAACAAGCTCCAAACCCGCCCCTAGTCTGAACTAGGACCTTCCTAGTATGAACCATTCTATTAATCAGATAGGTATTTTTCTAACAATAATACCTTTCTAATATGAGAATTAAAACCCAAAAACCCTAATTAGAGCCCTTCCCTAATTTAAATTCCAAATTTTAATTTTAGCAAAATCAAAAATTAATCTTTTAGAAAAACCTTTATTGCTCGTTTAAATCTTCTCCAACAACCAATCTCTTCTTCAGGTAAAAAGCCATGACTATATTTCAATAATTTTTGAAGAAAAATTGAAGATTTTGACAATTTAGAAGAATATTTAGAATTAAAAGAAATAAAATTATTTTTTGAAATAATTAAAGAAATAGCCCCAGTTGAAAATCCAAATAAAATTGACTCGAAAAAATTAATTGGATAAATTAATTTGCGTTGTTCTGCTTGACGAAATAATGCTTCGGAGGCATAAAAAGAAAAAATAAAATTAAAAAAATTCAAAAAAAAATAAAAAAAATTTTTGTGATTATGAGGAAGCACATATACGAAGTAGAAAATTTTTTGGGGTCTTCACGACCAGTTTTAAGACACAAAATTTTGATATTTCTTGCCAAAATTAACCGTTTTAATGAAATTATAAAGAAATTTCTTGTAAATGAGTGATTTTAAAATTTTGGTAAACAAAAACCAAGGGAAAGTCGGTAGTGAAGAACCCTAATAAAATACTTAAATTTAAAAACTAACCAAATTTAGCAGATAAGGCAGAAGCAAAGCTCTCCTTTGCTTAGTTTCAATCCAAACAGTAACTAAACAAGTAGCAAATCCATTCAAAAAAGAAAGTGTTGGCCAAGTAACAAAACCAAGAAAACGTCTAAAAGTGCAAAACCATAACATAAAAAGAATACAAGTGCAGACAATAAATAGAGAGGAACGAATTGTTTTGAAAACAAAATTTTTCCATTCAATTTTGTGTATTTTCCCTCTTTTGTCAATTAAAGATTTTAACTAGAAAAAAAATTTTTTAAAGAAGAATTGGTAATATTAAAACTGACTTACCCCATATTTCTTCCTACCCAAGTTTTTTCCTAACATAAATATCTACTGAATGGTCGACTTAAGGTTGGACTTAGTTTTTAGTTTTTTAACCTATTTTTTTCAAAACTAAGTCAAACTTAGTTTTGACTTCGGTTTTGGACCAAACCGAAAAACCGATGATTTTTCGGTTCGGATATCGGTTCAGTTCCGGATATCCGTAGAATTTCCAAGAACCGACAACCCCCTAGCTAGACTTTTTCTCCTTTCTTCCATCTCAATTGCCCTTCTATATTTTGCCTAAAAACAATCAAAAGAAATTAATTTTTATTACTCCTTGGATGGAAGGAAAATTGAAGGAGTCTGACCATTCTGCAAATATATAGGAAAAAACTTGGGGAGGAAGAAATAGGGTCTGTCAGGTTCAATATTGCCAAAAATAATAATAAAAATTTTAAAACTTACAAAATATAAAATTCCATAAGTTTTTAAAGAGAATAATGTACTGGGCAACAAAGCATCATAAATAGCCAACAAACAATTTGGATTCCAAGTATGACTAAAATTTGTTTTTAAAATAAAAAATTTATTTTTAAATAACCTGCCTTAATTCATAACATTCTGCTGGACAAAGTTTAAAACCCAATTTTCCTGCCAAAAATTTACTTAAAATCATTTTTAAAAGTTGATGAGAAAATTTTAAAGAAGGCAAGAAAAAAAATAAATTAAAGCAAGGTGATGTCAAATTAAGGCATCGAATATCAAAAAAATTCTTTTTCTACCCGAATTATTTTATAAAAAATATAACGAAAATCTGCAGAGAATTTATTAAAAAAATTACTAAATTTATACAAATTTTCCCCAAAATTTTTTCATAAATACTGTATAGAAAATAAGAAAAAATATATACGGTAGGTGATATTTTGGATTGAATTAATGGTGAAGGAGAACAATTATTGATTCCCAATATGTGTACATACTAGCAAGTAAAAATATAAGAATAAAACAAGTATCAGGGCTGGAGAATTTTAAATTTTAAAAAGCGGAAGGCAGAAGTCGGAAAAACGGAAGAAAATAAAAAAACGGAAGCGGAAGACCCAAAAAGACGAAATTCGGCGGAAGCGGAAGAAAATCCAGCCCTGATGTGTATTAGTTTTTTAGGCCAAAAATCTTCAAAATTTAAATTTCTTTAAAAACTTCTTAAAAAATATAAGACAACAAAATGGAACAACAACAAAATAATAATATAAAAATAAACTCGAGAAAACAAAGAAATGATGCTATTCCGGTTGAATTGCTTAGTGATGTATTCAAATCATCCAATGTTTCATTAAAAGAATTAAAAACGTCTTCGAGACATTTGTGGAAAGAAATTTATGAACCGCTCTCTCTGCCTTCGAGTATCAAGAGTATCGATGAACTTAAAAAGAAACTTAAGTATGTAATTACGTATTTATTCTAATTAAAGGACATTTTCCATTCGAATGTGACCCCCCTCCAATTGAGGGTCGGTTTTTTTGAATGAATGGATAATAAAATGCCCATTTTCATTTTAATGGCCTTCCTGGCAACTAAAAAATTCAAAAATCGCTTAGTTTAATATTTCTTTTTAGTATGGATAATCCTGCATTTTTGAGGAATTTTTCAAATTATTATTTTCCTTATTGGGGTCCTCCCCAAGGAGGTCAACTTCAAAATATTGACAATAAATAGGAACGGATGCATATTTTGAACAAAAAATTAAAAATATGTAGATCAACTCAAAATAATTTTTAAGAAAAAAAAATTAAAAAAATATCCAACGTTGATAATAACAAGACAGCTGGTGCTGTCGCAAAGCACTTTTGAATGCCAATTAATGTTTAGATTTTTAACGCTTTAAACCTAAAAATAATTTTTTAATTAGGCAAGTGTTAATATTCAAAAAAATGGAAGAAGGTGGACTCATAAAATATTGGCATAAAGTTGCTAAAAATATTTTAACCTCTTCTGGAATTGTTTATTCTCTTGTAGGAGAAAGCTTTAGAAAAATGAAGGTAGAAAATTATTATTTTGTTAAAATAAAATTAAGTAGTAAATGCAATCTAGTATTTTTCTGTCCTAAATTCCATCAGAACTCAAAACAAGATTTAACCAAAAACTGACAGGATGTCAGGAACAGAACGTACACAATCACAAAGAAATACAAGAAATACCTAAAAATACGGGCCCGTACAATAGAATTGGCGCAAATGTTTTATTTAACCCCTAGCCGAGGGCGCACAATAAAATAAAACCCAGAGAGAGTTAAATGACCGGGTTATTTAACCCGAACTCGGGGTTGTTTAAACGATCGGTACAATAAAATGGTTCCGTGACTTTTGCGCCGTGAACATTTGCGCCGCGATTTATGCGCCGAGCGACTTTTGCTCCGCCACTATCATTAAAAATATATGCATAACTACAGACATATTTCACCATAGTAGGGTTGTAGAATAGTTGGAAATCTTCGGATATCCGGATCCACAACCCTACACTATAGAGCATCCTACTTTTATGACCCAGACCTAATTCATCAGCTACCGGACCCCTATTGTACTTCCTAAACTTCTTTCAGTTTCTGGATACCATTTTTTAAACGAAGGGGTACAAGTCCGATTCTAATTATTTTATTTTTTCAAAATACTGGCGGCGCAAAAGTCGCGGCACATAGGTCGCGGCGCAAATGTTCTCGGCGCAAAAGTCGTGATACCCAATAAAATAGTTACGGGTTAAACAACACTCAACAGGGTGGACCCGCCGTTAACGGCATCTAGTTTTCCCTTTTGTGTCTTGCGCTTATTTGGCCCTGCGTACAGTTTGCCTGCACTCAGTTGTTCGGCTCTCAGTAGCCCATAATAGTTGCGGCGCTGAACTGACCCTAACTGAGAAAAGTTGTGAAAAGAAAAATATGCCCTAGAAAAAGATTGACTGCCGAAGACATTCATTCCTCTTTTTATTCTTATTTTTTCAGACTTTGTTTCCATCTAAAATCAATAAATACCCGTTTAATAATTAACTGAATTTTTTAGACCTTTATTTGATTTAAAACTTTTAAGCTTATTTCAATGTCCGAACAAAAACAACTGGGACAGCAGGCACAAGATGTAATTTATTTGTTAAACAAAATTTATCTAAAAATTCTTTTTTTTCTAATTTTATCAGTCTGTGAACGAATTAATTGTGTCGACTGGTGCAGCAGATCTCCTCAAAACACTGATAGATCGTGACTCTCGCCCACTTTTATTAAAAACACTTCATCACATTGAATCACAAAATAAAAAAAACAAGCAACTTTTGAAGTGGGTTAAGAAGCAGGCACAACAATTGGAACAGCAAGATACTTTAGACAAGGAGATGATAGCTGAAGTCCGTAATTTCTTCAGTATGCCGCCTTATGAAGAAACTGATTCAGGTTTTTATTTAATGAATTAAATGAGGCCAAAAAGTCGTCGAGTGCTTTTCTTTTGTGCGGCCGTTGAGTTTTCCTTTTTTCATCCTTTTTTTTCTTTCGTATTGAGGTTCATACCCTTTATCGATTTTACTTGTATAAAAATTATACTTTTGTGGTCACTAATTATAAAAGCTTTGCGGCCGAGTACCTAATTCCAGGGTGTAAACTTATTTTTTTGACCTAATTCACACTCCAGATTTTCGGTTATCTTTTTAGTTTTTACTGAAATAAATTCCCCATTTTTAGCTTTATATTGGTCCTTTTACGTAAAAAATTTTTTTAATTTAATTTAATAAATTTTAGTCAAAGAAACGTTAGCAAGAAGCAAAAGTAATCCATCTAAGCCAAACAACAGCCCAGTCAAATGCGAGGAATGTGGTGTTAAGTATGCTACTAAAAAAGGTTATAATCAGCATTTCGGCTCTCGAAAACACACAGAAGCTGTAAAAGCCAAGAAACGTCAAAGAGAGGTTGAAGAAGAGGAACATAAACTTAAATGCGGTGAAGAACCTGGACAGGAGGAATTTGATGATGATGCATCAGCTCCTTCATCTTCAAAAAAGTCTGCTCGTTAGTTTGTTTTGTTGGGATTTTTTGGACTGCTTTTTAGTTGTTTGGGTTATTGATAGGTTATTTTTTTCTTTTAAAAAATCAAAAATAAGCTCAATTTTATTTTTATTGTTAGACTTAATTTTATCTTTCAAAAATGATTTTAATTATTATGAGACTCATTTTCTATATATTTTTTTAAAATGTCTATACAAAAAATTAAAAATCATAAATATACATTTATATACATTCTCTCAAAAGACTTCTTTCTAAAAAAAATTTCTCTTTTATTTTAAACGATTCTTTCAAAAGGCATTGATTCTCTTGCTTTTTATGCTTTCTTTTATAAAAACTCAATTTATTTTTGACTTAATTTCTTTTAAATATGAGACTCATTTTTATTTTTCTTTAAAGTATTTATACAAAAAATCATTTTAAATTTATAAAAATCATAAATCCTCAAGACACCTTCCAAAATTTTTTTTCTTTAATTTTAAAATGATTTTTAAAAAAGGCCATTAAATTTAATTTTCATATGTCTATATTTTTCTAAATTGTAAATTATTTCAATTTACATAAATTATTTTTTTAAATATGTTTCCAACAAAAAATTTTTCTCATTGATTCTATTTTTAATGCAAATATTGTAGCCTCAAAAAAAATTTTTTTCTCAAAAATCCTCAAAAAATTTTTGGCTTTTATTTTTGACTTTTTGTTAGTTTTTTTAAATATTTTTTGTTTGTTTTAATTTATTGTCGTGAAATAAAGGATATTTTATTTCTTGATTTAATTTTATAATAAATTTTTTATTGACAGTCATCGGGGGCAGTATGTCGGGGGTTTTAATTTGTTTCGATAGGCGTTAAAAGGCCAGATTTTTATACATAACTGGCTAAAATTCAAATAAGCTTAAGGAAATATTTTTTGTTTAAAAGCCTGATTTGACATTTTAGAATGTATAAATCACAAAATTTTAGAGGGTGAAGGTTTGGACTGGAGAACCCTCAGGAAATTTAAATTATTTCAAATTAAGAATCTGGATATGATTTAGCATCCCGAATATTACACAATACTTTTTACAATAAGTTGCCGCTCGCGCCAAATCGTCCGTGTTTTTATATTTATATGGCAGCGAGAGAGTGTGTAAAAGAAGGAGTTTGGAATAGAGTTAAACAAAATTTAAACGTTTCGCCAATCTTTTTCTTTAGTTAATTTTTTTAAAAGGAAGATGCTTCTTAAGAAATTTTTAGAAAAAGTTTTTTTTGATTTTTGAGCATTTAGGCTTATTTGCCAAATTTACTTATCATCTTTGTAGGTTATACATACTGCCCAATTTTTCTATTGCTTGTTTTTATTAATGTTTTCCTTGTTATAAATTTTTACAATTTTTTGAGAAATTCCATTTGTCCAAGATCCCTTCTATATTCTACTATTTTCACATTTTTAGAGAAAAACAAAAATCTTAAAAATGGCTCCGCCGTCGAATAAAGTTCAAAAGGTGATGGTGCAACCAATTAATTTAATCTTTCGTTGCTTGCAAAGTCGTTCTCGCATTCTGATTTGGCTTTACGAGAATGTTACTTATCGCATTGAAGGATATATTATTGGTTTGTTTTTTACATAGTGGTTAATTTGTTTTGGGTAGGACAGCTTTTTAGCTGCACATGTAGGGGGTGTAATGTCTTTGACTGCGGCGAGCGTAAAGAATAGGACTAAAATTTTTGATGACTAGGACTGACTAACAGAATAGGTTAATGATTGACTAACAGACTAACCACTGACTAAGACTGGCAAAATCCGGTAATTCCAAGGCTGGCCCCGCCTTTTTCTGTTCGCCTGACCATTTTGAGCTTTTTTGCTTGACCTATAATTTACAATATATCATTCGAAAGAGCCTTAGCCTTTATATTAAATGCATTCCGGTAATAGTTCGCTTCGTACCCCCCCCCCTTTTTCCTTCCTAAAAGTATTAAAAAATGGCCAGTCAGTCTTAGATTATAGAACTCGTCGAGCTGTGACGAATGACACCAAAATCAACCCCCGGTCTTAACTTGGGCACAGGTAGAGACAAAAACCCTGCACAAAACGAAGGGTTTTGCACAAGCTCTCGCCAACGTAAAAGAATTACTTTATGTCATAACTTTGTCAAATATTGTTCAATTAAGTTGATTTTAATGTCATTCGAATCAACTCGACAAGCTCTTTCAAATGAGCTATTGTTTAATCGAATTTTTAGCCCAAAAATGAGCTTTCTCCACCCTGTTATTTTTCAATTTTCGGGGGTCTAGTATATCTCGGCCCAAAGTTAAGACCTTGGGTTGATTTTTGTGACATTCACACAGCTCGACGAGCTTTATAATCTAAGACTGACTGACCATTTTTTAATACTTTTAGGAAGGCAAAAGGGGGGGGGGGGGTACGAACCGAACTATTACCTGCATTCCCAGCAAGGGGGTTAATCCATCGATTTTTCTAGGAAGACAACAAAGTTCTTCCAAGAGCACCCATTTTCTAAAATTTTTAATTTCTAAAATTTCAGGTTTCGATGAATACATGAATGTCGTCGTCGACGAAGCTGAAGAGGTTAACATGAAGTCACTCAATCGTCACAAATTGGGGCGGATCTTACTCAAGGTTTTTTGGAATTTAAAGAATACCATTTTACAAATTTAATTTTAAGGGCGACAACATAACGCTTATTCAAACGATCCAGTGAAGTTATAAGATCTCGAATTCTTCTCGACTTCAAACAAAATTGTTCCTTTAATTATTTGGCAACGGAAAAATGTTTAATTGTTCTTTTTTGTCTTTTAAAGCCAATAAATATTTTGATTATTTTATTCTGTCTATTATATTTGTAAGGTTCAATTTTTACTTTATACAGAGAAGAAATTTGTACATTTTTACTTTCCGTTTTTCATACACTTAATTTAAGCTTCAAAAACTGCGAAATTCTTCAAGAGATTCTTCAAGCTAATCTTGAGAAAATTTTCTTAAAACTAGGGTTCGGTCCGAAAAAACAAGGGATTTCTTTGTTCCTGTTTCGGATATCCTAAGAATTTCATAGAATTCTTCGAACCATATTTAAAAATTCCTAAAATTATACTTGATTTTTTGAAAAAAAATTAAAGATATCCATTAAAAAGGAAATAAGTTTAAAATTAAACTTTAGTAAAATACATTCCTCCCCCATAAAACAAATCTTTTTTTATTCAAAAAATAATCTAAAAATAATAAAAACAAAATCAACAACCTAAAGCATACTTTTTTTCTTCATTAATTAAAGGACTTAAAATTGGGTCATAAAAATTACTGATAGCCAATATATTTGGTTCACGTCCCTAAAAATTAAAAAATAAATTTTTTAAAAATTTTTTAAAGAATAACCTGAAATTGTGTATACATTTCCCATTGCGATTTTAAAGAGCCATTATTTAGCCAAACTTGTTTTAATCTGTTTGCTGTTGATAAATTGTCCACTTCATTATCAAAAGTTTGATGTACATCTAAGGCTAATGCCTAAAAAATTAAAAAGATTTTCTTTTTAGTGTTGAAGATATTTGAGTAATTGGGGTTTTTGCCCAAAGAAGTACATATTTTTAAAATAAAAATATTAGTGCTGTAGATAGCCATTATCAAGGATAGTATAGTTATCAGACCAAGATAAGGGTCTGTACTAGTTTGTGAATCAATGAATTAGGCTGGGTACAGGAAAGAATCCAGGTCATACCCACTCAAATTTTTTAAAGTTGAAAGACCATGCCCCTTGAGAATTTATAAATTAAAAAGGATAAGCAGGTGCACCTTACAATAATTTAAACAAAAAAAATTCATTGGTGAAATTTAAAATATCCCGACAAATCCCTTATATTACCCCCCAAATTTTCCTTTTTTAAAAAATTATCAAGTTAATAAAAGAATACCCAATAAAATTTTTCAAAAATAAATTTCAACAAACCTCACACCACAATTTTCTGTAATACATACAAGCATTTGAATGTGGCACAAAAATAGGTATAAAAGAGCATGGATGAAAGTTGTTATGTTCAATAGGGAATGGAAAATATTCAGCATAAATTTCTTTGTAAAGATCCAAATAATATTTATCTCTAAAAAATTTTAAAAAATTAAAAAAAATTTTTTTAATTCAAAAAATTTTTTCTTACTGAAATTTTTCCAATTCAAATAATGAAAGGTCATAATCTGCCCAGAACAAGGTTCTCCACGTATCCCAAAATTTTCCTCTTGCCAATGCTAGGGAAATATCTTGAGCTTTTTGTAATGTTAAAAGATGACCATTTTTCTGAAAGAAAAAATTAAAAAAATTTTTTTTTGAATTTTTTTTACCAAATGTGGACTGCTCATTGAAAGAATCAATTCAGGTTTGGAAAGAAAAAATTTAAAAAATATTTTTAAAAAATCTCTAGCATCCCATTCTTGGCTGTACATTGCGTGTGGTCTAGATAAATGCATGTAAGGAGAACGAGTTAACAAAGCATGGACAAGAATGCCTACCTAAAAGAAAATAAAGAAAATATTTTTAATGACTTCAGGCCTAATGCTTATGTTAGTATTAGGGTTGGACAAGACCTCCGGAATTTCTGATTTTTTTTGCCAAAAATTAACCGCATTTATAGAATTTTAATTAAAAATTCTTCCAAAATAAAACTGGTATTTGACTGGAACTTAAAACTGAAAACAGGGTTTTAACGAGAACTGACGGTACCGGTTAATAAATGATTATTTTTGAAGATTTTTCCTTGTCTAAAAAAGTGTGTAAATCTCAAACAACCCAAGTAAAATAGAGGGGAATAGTGAAAAGTCAGCAGAACAGGAACCCCCACTTGCAGCAGTATTAACACTTTAAAAAATCCTTACATTTTCAAGAAGATCTTCCAATTCTTCATAATGCAACACTTCATCCTCTTCTTTTATATTCCCAACCAACCAAACTAATTTATCCAATCCTTTATTTTCATCTTTTACTAAAGACATTTAAAATTAATTTAAAAATAATTATTAAAATATACATCTCCATATATTTGCAATCCACCCTCTATCAACTTTTCCGTCTCTAGCAAAAGCATCAAGATAAAAACGACCAAGATATTCATCTTTAAAAAATAGGAAAAATTAGAAAAAAATTAAAATAAAATTTAAACTGGTTGTTTTGTCTGTAACTTCATATATTCGAACAGAAGGATGACAACGTTCTAATGAATCATCTAATATCTCCTTTAAATTTTAAAGATTAAAAGAAAATTAAAATATTAAAAGAAAGTTTATAATAAATTCCTAAAACATTTAATAAGGAAACATTCTGAACTACCAACAAAAATTTTGCGATGAAACATACACCATAGTGTAGAGCAGGGTCGATTCCTTATTACTAGTTTTTTCTTACTTATTTGTTTCAGTACTTATCATTCAACAAAAAACAAATTTATGTTAAGAATATTTTTTGAAAGCAACCAAAATCTATTTTTAAAGGAAAACTGGATTTTAATATGGCCGTCTGTCTCACAAGAAAATATATTGTGGTGTCCAATAATACTAACACTTTAAACTGTCTTCATACAAGAATCTACCCCAAAAGGGAATCTATCCCATTATTCCAAAAATATTAATAAGTAGGGCCGAAACGGATACCAAAAACAGTCTTGGTAAGCAACGTATTTATAGACCCAAAATAATTGTGTAAATCAAAACAAACCTTAAATTCAATGCCTAGAACAAATTGAACAACGGTCAAAATTTTCTCAAAAGTTGGCCAAGCAGGAAAATGATTTATTAAATCAAGAGTATCAACACTTTATAAAAATTTAAAAAAATTATATAATTCAAAAATTAAAAAGAAAACCGATGAAAATGTTCAGCTTCTCTTCTACAAATATAAAAAAGATCGGAAGTACGTAACTGTCCAAAGGTTTCTATACCCTCTTCTTTTTCTGCATATTTACACCATTGTCCATAACGTTCGATAAGTACTGGACGTAAACGATGGTAAAGACTGAAAAATAAAATTTTTAATGAAAAAGTTAGCCTGCTCTGTAGATTTTAATTTCAAAAATAAAAACCAAAATGCCCCCAATAAAGAACCAAAATGCCCCCAAATTTAATTTAATTAAATAGGCAAATTATAATTTCATGCGCAACATTAAAGCAAGAAAAATGGAACCAAAGAACATTACTTGTGTAGTGGTGACACTATACTATAAAAGCCAATGTAAGCGACAGTCTAATTGGATCAGACTAGCCCGGCTAGTCCCTGATCTCCTTCGTCTTTCCAGCTCTTTCCCTTCGCCTACACATTGTACATTTCTACAATGGATAAACTGTCATCATTGTGCACGTCGACTTTAGTTAAATCACGAACAACCCTCGGATATAACAATTACAAATCAATTTGTAAATAAAGCTTGCGGATTAAATTTTGGGCCCTTTGATCTTTTCCCGCTTTTATTATTAAAATTTTTACTCGTCATAAAAATCCTTTAAATAAAATATATAAATTACCCAGCAATAAAATCCCTCAAAGTTTCGGGATTTCCAATCATTTTTGTAGAAAGTTGATGATGAGCAGTTGATCGAAAGCCAATATGTTGTGAAAGTCGTTCACTTAAAAAATTATTAAAAATTTAAAAGTAAACATATTTACATACTAAATACTTCGTAATTCTTCAATAGTTAATGAATTATTAAAAAGATGATCATTTGAAGCAAAAGACTGAAATTGGAAAATATTCCATTAATAAAAATAAAGATGTAGAAAAATGTTAATTAGGATTGGGGCCCGATCCGGCCCGGTCCGAAAGATCGAGTCGGGCATGCATTTTGGCCCTAAAAAGACTCGGTCGGGCCGGCCCGATAAAAATGACTCGAACGTCGGCCGACTCGAAAACCCCAACCCTATTATTAATTTTCGAATTTTTCTCCGATTTAGGAAGCGGACCATGGTCCGGCTTACTCTCACTTATGCCTGAGAGGATTATGCCTGAATGAAAAATAGTGGAATATGAACTAGAAAACAGTCACAGAATGTAAATAAAACCTCAACATTAAATTTTATTTAAATTCCTTTCTGCAAGTGATGAAATTTCGAAGGAAAGTATTAAATCATTTTCGGATTAGAATAAAAACCCTAGGAAGATCTCATAAAATTTTAAATATTTACCGATCTAGCAATCCAAGAATCCCAAAGTTCTTTCTTCTGTTCTCGAGCATTTGAATATTTTAATAAATCAAACATTGAAGAATCATCTGTACTTGCTTTCCAAGGACCCTTTTCTGGATCATTTCTTTAAAAATAAAAATTTTTATTAAAAAAATAAAAAAAAACAAACCCAACAGAAAGCTTTTTTAAAATTTTGGGAGGAACGTGTTTAAGTTGATTTCGATCTTTTATCATAACTTGAACATTTGCGTATCTCGGATCAAGTAAAAGACTTGTTCTAAAAAAAGAAAATTTTAATAGGTATTTTGAAGAATAATAAAAAAAGTTGATTTTGGATGAGTTCTTTCACGTCAAAAAATTTTATCGAGGAATGGATGAAGGCTTGAGACTCGATTAAAAATATCGATTACGAGGTCTTGACTAGGGGACACCAGGCCCCAGGCCCGTAGCCAGGGGGGGGGGGGGTGGGGGGGGAATTCCCCCCCCCCCCCCGAAATGGGAAAATGGAAAAAATTTGGGGAAGGGCTGGGGCAAAAAAAGTGAATTTTTTTGGACTACGGCCTCTAAATTCAAAAAATTTTCGCCTGCGGCGCTGAAAATCAAATTTTTGGCGCCTGCGGCGCCGATAAAGTGAATTTTTTTGGCCTACGGCCTTCTAAAATTCAAAAAATTTTCGCCTGCGGCGCTGAAAATAAAAATTTTTGGCGCCTTCGGCGCCAAAAATTTGGCGCAAAAAATTCCCCCCCCCCCCCCCCCCCGAAAAAAAATCCTGGCTACGGGCCTGCCAGGCCCTTATAAATTTTGGTACCAATCTCTTTAGTTCGATGAGAGGAATCGTTTAATATTAAATTTGCTATGAAGTAAGTTATGGCTTTGCCCCGTTATGGCCGCGCGCCTACTTGGGCTGTACACCAAAAAATAATTTTTTTTTGTAAATTATAGTCTAATGTCATTCTCCCGTAAATTTTTCACAGAAAATTTGAATATTTAAAAGTATAAAAAATGTAACAAAATATTTACACATACAAATATCTCTTTCCATGAGTTCTAGCCTCATGAAGAAGCCCTTTCGTCCAATTTTGTTCTTTTGCGTGGAAGTTATTGTTTCTTGGATCTGGTTGAAGTCTTTATAAAAAATATTTTTAAAAGTTAGGAAAATAATTGTAGAAAATAAACCCAATCATGTCCCATTCAAGTTTCAATAGTTCTACTAAACGGCGTTGCCAAGGATCGATTTTAGCCAGCTCTGATTCTGGTATTCTCTAAAAAGATTTGGAAATAAAAATTATTTAAAATATGAGAAATAGTTAAGACTGTAGCAACGGAAACTAACTGAAAAATAGGGGGGGTTTTTGAGAATTTTCAGGCCTTTTTCCTCCTTTTTTTACGCTCAATTAATAATAAAGAATTAAATTTTTAAATAAGAACGAGGAAAATAGAAATAATTCAAAAAGTAATTCAACATGAAAATTCCCACATTCTTCAGTAGTGAACAAAATATTTATTAGAAAATCTTACCCTAACAGAATCAACAATAATTTGATGCTGAGCTCTATCAGACATTTCATTAACTAACAATCTTTCAATCGCCTAAAAAAATTTTTTTTTTAATTTTAAAAATTAAATTTAAAAAACAACCTCAAAATCCTTTTTCCAATCTGTAAGACTACATTCAGGCCAATCTGTTAACATTTTTAATTGAACAGAAGAAAGAGCAAAATAACCATTTCCTTCATCTTTGAGTAATGGAGATAAAACTTTGTCAAAAGTAAATAAAGCATCCTTTTGTTTTAATTCTTAAAAAAATTTTTTTGATTAAAGATAACAAATAATTACATATATTTTTGTGAAAAATTATATTTATTTATTTAAAAAAAGGGAATTTTTCTTAATAATTTTAGGAAGGAAATATAGTTTTTATGTTGGGTTTCAAGCCAATTTTGGCAACAGTAGAGTAAAACTACATAAATCTCAATATTTTTAAATTGATCCCCATTGAAATCACCGATCAGACAATAATAAAATTAAATCGATTTAATCGTTTACTAACAATTTTGCAAAAAAAGAGGAGTGCCCCGGAAAGACCTTAATAAGGCACATACATGTATCTTCTGATTCAAATTTCACGGACTTAAGCTACTCCGGTTCCATATTTTTTGACAATTAAATGCCGTGCCTCATTTAGGTCTTACCGGACACTCCTACCCTTACTAACCAAATTATGAAAAGTCGTGGACCAAAGGCTAGGCCAACTGTCTATTCTCAAAAACTCGATAAAAAAATAAAATTTAAACCTTCTTCCAAAAAATCAACATGTTCAGCTAAAGTTGCACTCATTTCAAGAATATATTTAACAGTTCCTTGATAAAATTCATCAGCTTTAATTTAAACAAATTAAAAAAAAATCTTTCAAATTTTCATACGCAATCCTGTAGAAATTGGAGGCCAATCACTATTAGATTCTAAACTTTCCAACAATACATTATTTTGCGGGTTCTCATCTGGTACATTTGGCAATCTACAAAATAAAAAAAAATAAATGGAGAAAAAGATTGTAGAATTACACTATATAAAAAGCACTGTGTGGACTTTGATAACCATCATCGTTTAAAACAACCCAATTAATAGCTCGATGTTGGAAACTCGTATGCAAACGCCTCCTAAAAGGGTAAAAGTTAATTTTAAAAAAGAGAGAATAATTATCAATAGGAGAAAGTCTGACCGCAATAACTCGCGGTTTACCGAAAAGCTAAGATGTGGCCTTATTACAAGATTTGATTAGTCTTTGTCACTATTTTAAAAAATTAACCTTGTCACCAACTCAAGATTTGATTTAAACAAAGAAAAACGCCCGAAAGATGTACAAAAACATCGCCGAACACTACTTGAAAATAACGACCCAACCGGCATGTATACTCAAAACTGGTAATAAAAATTAAAACAAATCAATTCAGATATTTAAAATAAAATTTACTTTTTAAAAATTGCGAAACAACCAAAAAAAATTTTTTATCTATAAATATTGAGAGGTCTTTCTAGTCTAAGTGGTTTTTGGAATCATCGCTTTCTTAAGGTCATCAAGGGCAACAGCAAATCCTTGGAGAGCCAAACTGAAGTTTTGCATAAGCGCCTCCATACTGTCCATGCGAGTCTCGAAGTTGTCCATCCTAACCTCCAAGTTATCCATACGAGTCTCGAGACGGTCAAAGCGTGAATTCCAAACTGCCCAAAGCGCAAAATATCCGCCAGCAATCGCCGCTCCCATGGCCACCAAAACAGCGCCGAGAGTCAAAGAAATGCTGAGGAATGAGAGCCAAGCATTCATCGAAGGAACTTTCCTAAAAAACAAATGTTGATTTATATAAAGATTTAATAAAATAAATATTTTTGAGATTAAAAATCTAAAGTCGATAATATTCTTATGAATGAAAAGGCTAATGAAGGAGAGAGGTAAGACTCAATTGGCATAATTTTTCTAGTCATGAAAATTTGAAACTTATAAAAAGCGAAATCATAAAAAGCACTCCGAAGGAAAATTTATATTGAAATTTCCTTAAAGACAGTCAAATATCCCCGATTTAGGGTTATAGAGAAAGGCAAATTTCCCCACTCTGCTTTACATGTTTCCGAAAAAACGTCTCAATTAGAAATGAAAACTCACACTTCAGACGTGTCAACATAGCGAGGCGGCGGTGTGATGGGAATATGACGAGCCTGCTGCTGTGAGCCTGGGTCTAAAGAAAAATATTTTAAAAAATCATTTGATCCGATGAATACCTCGATTTCGACATTGTCAGTACTGTCATTACCAACTACGGACATTTTGAAAGAAAGTATAACCAAAGTTTTAAAAAATATTTTCTGAAATAGTTAATTGAAATTATTGTAAATTGAATGTATAAAAGAAGTTTAATATAAGGTTCAAAGAGCGACAAGGAAGATGGTTAACGAGTCGATAGATAATCGGAATTGGAATCTAAAGGAAAGGAGCTATATAGACTGAACCTTTATAGATGATAAGCAATATATAGATGCTAATTCTCAGATGAAACGATAAACATCAAAAAGCAAATATAAATGACTTTGCCAATTGGTGTTTAGCAAACATTCGTGTAACCAGGTCAAAAGATTTAATTCAGTTTGTGGTTTCCTTGTATGGAAAAATCATAAGGTGAAACATGAAAGGTAAAAGAAATAATCAGGCAGAATCAATAGAATATATGAGAACTAGTAAAATATCTGGGAATGATTAAAGGAACCCAAAGAACACTATTTATGAAAAAAAATAATAAAAATCTTAAAATGAGTAAAATTCTACAAAGTTGAAGTATATAAAGGTTTTCGATGGGAATTCAAACAATGGAAGGATGAATTTATATTCATTATGTAAAAACAAAAATACATAAAATCAAAATGTAAAAAGTCAATAAGTCAACAACTGAAAACTTTGCCATTTGATGTCTGTAAAGGTACGCGTCATTTGAGTGCCTAAATTTGAACGCTGACGGCGTATCGCGATTTTTTAACTCAGCTGAGTTAAATCATCTTATATCGAGTGTTATTCAAGAATGGCCTAAACATATTAAAATATGAAGAGCTACAGCCGGATAAGTGAGCGCTATCGTGTTTTTCTATACTTACTAGGCTGCAAAGTTTCAAATGGTGAACGAATTTTTAGGAATCTAATCGGCACATACAGCTTTCGAATTAGCTGAGAATTTGAAAAATAGTCCCAAATAGATTCTCGCCATTCATATGACATGCTTTGCTTAATAATGCGACTCAACGCCACTATTTAATTCAATACCGAAATCACGCAAAATTTATTTAAGCTTTCCCAAAAAAGTAACTTTCTTTTTCAATTTCTTGACTACTTTTAATGGAAAACAATTTGAATTATTCGATATTTATAGTAAATATAGGTCCTGATTTTATTAAATCAGTATACAACATAAAAATAGTCGAAAAAAGGAAATGATCGTGTAAAATCAAATTTGTTCAAGGTGATAAAAAATGCATCAAAAAAGCAAAAATTATACAATAAATGATATAAACAAAAAAAAATAAAATTGTCAAATATATTTTAAATTCTAAACAGATTGACTAGAAAGAAAGTCTGTGAAAATAATAAAAACTTTAAAAATTGAGGTATGACTCCCTTTTAAAATTTCCTTTAAAAAATCGTCTGGAATGGCTATGTTATTTAATAATATTTTTTAATCTTTATTAATTTTCTATTTGATAAAAAACATCAGTAATTTCATCAAGCAATGAATGTTTACTATAAATTTAATTATTAACAAGGAAAGGTTGCGAGGTGTCCGTCCTAAAAACGGTCGAGACCAGGCTCATTCGATAGAGAATGTGCCCTTTCTAGCAAGGATTTTGAGCCGTTTTTGCCCGTTTTTTGATCGGCCAGGTTATAGGATATCTGGCATCAACCCAAAACTAAAAAGTTGCCTCGGAAAAAGAATAACAAAGGACAGAAAATACAACTTGTTAATTACTTTAAACATTTCCCGAAAGTTTCAATCTTATGAACGGGAACCCTTTAAATATAAAAAACAAACATCAGAAGAGCAAGATGAACTTGTAGAAGGCGCTAGACTACAATCAGAGGGATGATAAACTTCTGGTTCAGTTAATTCAGAAAGTAAAGAATTTGGAGCACTTGATTGGGATTCCTTTAAATTAAATTTTAAAAATTGAACAAATTATTTAAAACCTTTCCATGAGTTACTGAACATGGAGAATGTTTTGCAGAAGAAATACATTCAATTAAATTTTCCCCAATAGATTCAACTTCTTCGTTTGATTGAAAATCAATTATGGGAACATCCTGATGAGTAATTTGAAGCCTGTCTGATTCTTCTTGCAATCCTTTATTTTCTTCGGGTATTTGATTGTGGAGAACATAAGAAGATATTACTGGAGTGCTGCTATCAGAAGGTCCACGAATTGTACTACTTGTTTGTTGTCGAGGATGGAAGAAATCAAAATCTTCAAAAGTTTCTTCTGTCTGAAATTTTTTGGGGTTTTATTGAAGAAAATAATTTAAAAAACCTCAGGAACAAATCTTTCAAATTCTTCCTCCTTTTCAATTTCTTCAATTGAATGTCTCAAATTCGTACCAATACAGCCATGTTTTGCACATGTTTTAGGATCTGGTGTACGAAGTGAACAACTAAAGAAAAAAATTTTAAAAAATTAAAAAAGAAAAAAATTAACTGTTGATGAACACTTGGATGTCTTGATTGTGATGTCACCCTTTGACGAAAGAAAAATTTTCGGAAATGTGGATCATTGAACCTGAATAATAGATAAAATTAAGAATCAATTTTTTTATGGGACAGATTAATGGAAATAAGAATGAGGGCGATAGAACTGAGGGATGCACTAGGTTTTAAATGCGAATATCATCAAAAAACTGAGGGATGTACTAGGTGAACTTGTAAAGTAATACGGTTAAAAACGAAAGAAATATAGTCATTAACTAAACAATACAAACATTCTCTCGCAAAAATATTCCTTTTCTTTATAAAAAGACACGTCCAAAAAATTAAGGTTGTCAGAAAATTAAAATTTTAAAAGAGAAACCTGGGATCATCATTAAACTGTTTTTGTTGTTTTGACAGTAAAGCTTCATTTGAATCAGATGAAGAACAAGGCATCTCATTATCAGAAGATGAAGT